AGTTGGTGCAGGCTCAAATTAGTTTCAAAGATTAATCCAACATTAATTATGATTCCTATGGATGGAAAGATAAAATGTGCTCGTAGATTTCGAGGTATAAAATTAAATGAAAAGTAAAATATTTGAAGAGATTTATGTTGCAAATTGTCGACAACGTCATTTTTATAAACGCAGAAAGAAAAACACGGGCGTATATTTCAAAAATGATAATAAACACTCGATATATTCAATGTTGGTATTTTATAGAATGCCTAGGTATCATATACAATGGTTAGATAAAGTTCGTAATCATTTTTCTATTTCCTATATTGGCTAAAAATGCCATGCATTCGTATTTTGCCGATAACATATAAAAATACTAGAATAAATATTCTTGAATATAGATAAAATATCTAAATTCACGCTGTCATCGACTAACTTCATGCTGTTAATTTCGCGTCGTTGTGCGCGCGCATCGTAAATACCGAGGCCAACTTCATTCCGTTAATTTCGCGTCGCTGTGCTAGCGCGCATCGTAAAAATTCACTTTCGTCATTTTTTCCCAAACGCTCCAAAAAGAAATATAACTTCAAGAAAAAAAAAACTTCTTCTATCTTAACTATATTATCAGATTATCGATCGGTCGAATTCGTTTAACGCGAACTTTAACGTCGTTACACGATGCGAGAAAGAGAAGAAACGAAAGAAAAATCCTCAACGATGGATGCTTGAAGCTTCACTTTGGGTCCCGAAGGTCGTTCAAAAAATAATTTTTTCGATCGTATTGTATGTATGAGAGAAAGAGAGGAGAAAAAAAAGAATCCAAAGGAAAATTTGACGTTATGATATACAGTGCGATTCACGAGTTGTAAATCATTAAGGATTATTCCGCTATTAGAAATCTTGATAGAGAGAAATGATTCGTGAATCACCCTGTATATATATTTTCGTCCCTCTTCATCTACTTTTGTCTCCGTATATAGATCTTTTCAGATTCTAATACTTTCCCCCCCCAGCCCTCTTTTCGTGTTTTGACGGGGATATTAATTGACCTCGTTGCTTAGAAGAAAAGAAAAAAAAGAAAAGAGGAGTGGGGTGGGGGTGGAAAAATAGACAGGTCCACGAAGAATGAGGGAAAAGAGATGGTAAAAAGAAAAAGAAAAACAGCAGTACTATAGAAGAAGTGGCAGGCAGGCAGGCAGGCAGCAGTAATACGAGGTGGAACTGAAGGAGGAGAAAAGGAGGAGAAGGTAATGTTGGAGAGGGCGAAGGGGAACGAAGGGAGGAAGGGGAGGTCTCTTTCTGTACTCAAGAGCAGAGAGGGTGGCATTAGGTCGAGGTCACCAGGACGGAGAAGCGATCGATGCAGCCCACCACCACCAGCAACCAGCCAAGGCACAACCCGTGCTATCCCAACCATCGCATTTTCATTCTACTACTTAACTCTGAACCTTTTTTACTTACTACACTTATTTTTCTCTACTTAGAACAAACGAACAAACGAAAACAAAAAGAATGTTCCTTTTTTATTTCGAAAAATTCAGTCAACAATCATATTTTTTCCTATGTCAAACGAGAAAAGCGAATTAAAATTATTTTAAAACTACAAATACAAATAAGTAATATTACAATCTTTGTTTTTTTTTGTTTCTTTAAATAGGTGATAAATATGTTTGATGCATTAATCGATATCGATTTTTAATAATAATAATTCTACTACGAAACAATATTATATGTGTAGGAGAATAATTAAAAGTTCTTTTTCTAACTCTGAATATTTTCTAATTTTAGATAATTATTTTGGAAATAAGGCTAACTCGAATTAGACGAATGTAATCGATTGTAATAAATGCGTAAGATCTTCGTTTAAAAATAATGTACAATTTTGTGTTTAATAATTGCGAGTAGATACAAGCAGTACCCTCTAACGAAGAATGCAATAAACAAATACCTCAATTCTTCTACGCGTCAACGTTTACGTTTAAAATTCTGCATTTACCGATCCAGTTTTGTTTTACCGAAAGATGGCAACTCTATTAAGCGAAAGGATACTTTTTTCTTTTTTTTAAATATTCCATTTTTTGGATGATTTGTTATTACAAATCAAAGACTGTGTTAATATAGAAGAATTCTTAGATCTTTTGTATAGAATGAATTAAATCATGAAAATCATCAATAGAATTAATTAGATCATCTAACATATGTCAAGAAGATATCATGTGATTTATATTTAGAGATTAGAATTGTATAAATAAAATAAAAAATCACATAGAATTGAAACAAAATTTGATAGAACCGAAAACGACAAAATATACTATGACAATTCGTGTAGATTCATTTCGTTAATATCCTGACACAAGAACAATCATTTTGAAACTTGATGTATCTAATAAATATCTATATTTTGTTAACACCAATTTCGCATTTCTTACATTTCCATAAATATGCTACAAGCTTTGAAAAGTTTCCAACGCTCATCTGTTAAATTGTTTGGTTTCTAAGGTCTTTTTGTACGACACGTTTTTGCAAATGTTCCGGTTGTTTTATATGTCACAGCGCAGATTTTCAGCATATTTTTAGCGTAATTTTTTTTTTCGTTTCGTTTCTTTTTAAACCACGCAACAGGAATTGAGAAAAGTGATTATCCATCGAACGAGTAATATTATAACCGAGAATCATGCGAGTGATGATAAAAAATTAATCAAACGTAAGGTATATAATGCGAAGAAATTTGAGGTGTTACAATGTAAGAGTGTGAATTATTAGATTTTTCATTTTCTATATTTCCTATCATTATTATTTAATATTGTTCGATCATTTTTAAATAGAATTCGTACGTTTCTACATCGACCGAAGAAGATACTTCGCGATCGACGGAACTCGATCTTTTAAATCCTAGGTTAAAACATTTCCTAGACAAAATTCAATTCCGACTTATCTTCTCTATTCTCGAATAGAAAATATCTAATTAATTGGAAATTTGTTTTGTCCCAACAAATAGATCGCAATTTCGTCAACGTTCGCGACAATTGTTATCATCGGTAAAGCAAAATATTCATCAAGATTCTACACCGAATCTTCTCGAAAGATCTTTAAGCGTTCGAAGCACATCTCCATCGGTTAATCGCCAATGCGTGGAATCAAAATTACGTAAGTGATGTAAGTGTTAGTTTAATAATAATAATAATAAAAATCGATGAAATAATCTAGTTAGTCTAATCGAAAAAATAGTTCTTACGAATCTCGATAATTTTCTATCATTGCCTTAATTACACTTATTGTAGATTTAGGAAAGGGAAAGAAGATTATCGCAACGGGAGAAATTTCAAATCGTCAATTTGCTTCGTTTCGTGATAAAAGGAAGTATGAGGTAACGTGATCAAATTTTTGTTCTATTTAATAAACCAAATTATTTTTTCAATAAAATAAAATAAAATAAAATAAATTTCCCCCAAAAAAGACGTAACTCGTTGTCTCTTGGTAGAAAAAACAAAAAAGAGAGAAACATTAACTGCATTGACTTATGGTTTTTCCCCAATAGTATAAAGTAACTTTCGCAAAAGAGAAAAAGTATTTCGAGTGCGACAAAAAAGAAGAAGAAGACGAAAAAGAAGAAAAAGGGAAGAAGAAGGTTGATGGTGTTAAAGAAGATCATAAAAAACTTTGGTAATTATTCAAAGAAGTTTCAGCCTGTTCAGATGCGTGCAGAGGCGAGAGAATAAAAAATTGTAAGGCACGCTATCGTTATAAAAAAAAAAAACAAAAAAATAAGCAGACAAAAATCGAATAGTTAAAACGCCTAATGCGTTCTCCTGACAGGAGGAAGGAAAAACGCACCCCACGAATCGTAAGGGCGGTACGTCGTAACAGCAAAAAATGTAAGACGTATTTTTTCTTTGTAAATTTATCTTCCTAGCGCTGCTCTGTTTTCTCTGTACATGTATGTATACGTATAAAATGTAATTAATTATGTAAAAATGATTTATTGGATTGTATCAGAGTTATTTAACTTGCGTTTACGTTTCTCTCCCTCTCTTTCTCTCTTTCTTTTCATATGTCATCAAATGACATTTATCACATTATTAGTTAAACTTTGTAATATACGACTTTTTCAAACTCGATGTATCATTTTTAATTACTCTGTATATATATGTATATATGTACTTGTATATAGGGTGTCCCAGCTGAAAGAGGCTACTTAAATATTTTCTTTATTTTTAATTATAAAATATTTCGAACATACTTTGGTTTCTAAAAAATGATATTGAATTTATCGAATGAAACTTTGATAGTGTATCCAGGGAAAGACGTAAATACGGAGTCGATTGAACGTCCAAATAATAGCAAAAGTAGCGTCGTTGTTTTGTATCAAGGAGAACCTTCTGAAACGGCAGAAACTATTCCAAAACAATCCGTGGAAGGTTCGAAATCTTATCGATCCAGCCTTCAAAGTTCGGACATCAGTTCAGAACCTTCTTCCGTTATGTAAATCATATTGAATAATTTAATTATATTTTTTTAATCCTTCTCACACAAATCACAAATGAAAATCTTCTTTTGTAGAACAAGACCGATCGAGAGTCCAGAATCTTCGACACCGCGTTACTCGATTCCACGAAGAAAGATCACATCTAGAAGATATTCGCGAATTACGAGACAATCCGATGCATTGAACGTAAATATTTATCACAAAAGTAAAGTGATGCAAGTAACACCTTCTATGAGAAATTATTGGACAACGGATGAAAAATCGAAGCAAATTTATTCGACCAATAACAAAGATCCCGTTTCTATTAAGGAAGAAATTCAGAATTATAAATTCGAGGATAGTCAAAAAATAACAGGAAAGTCTTGCGAAAGTAATAATAATATTAATAATCCAAAAGAAAAATGTTATCCTCCTGACTCTTGTGTCTCCAAGTTGATATCTCAAAGTGTTAACAAGTGAGATCTTATTTTCTCCTTAAAATATATATCTTTAGGATTGAATTATATAAATTATTTGTAAAAACATTTGTTATATAGTACAAGAAAACAGAGTGAAGAAAAAGGTATGAAACAGTCGATGTTATCTCCAAGCTTGAACTTCTTGATGCAACATATGCAAACGAGTCCAAAAAATATTACAAAAGATCAAGTTTGTTTTAGTACCAACGAAATCGACGAAAGTAAAAGAGTCTTTCCGTTCCAACCAACTTCTAGCGGGAATTTGAAAGTTGTACCAAATCAAGTATAATTATTTATTGATATATAATATAATAATAATTATATAATCTCTTTCATCATTCGATATAACTTAGTATTGATCGTATGTTAAGGTTGTTTTCGAGTCGAAAAAAGTAAGTGTATTGGTAGCAGATCCAAGACACACAAAGGTTAACATTAAAGCGGAACTCGACAAATCTAATATCGACGTGAACAGATCTATTTCTGACTTTTCAAACAGGCAGGGATTCATCGATCTTCCTCCAGGAGTGACACCGTCGGCTATCAATCATTTACAAGTAATATTAATGATCGAATTTTTTCATCTTTCCTTTTCTTTCCTTTGCTTTTTTTCTATTATCTCAATAAAATGATGTATAATTTATATCGTAATATTAGTATTTAGAAATATCTTACACAAACAGGTTCATAAAAAACTAGCCGATATCCAAGCTGAGTATAAACCAAGGACGCAGCCGTATAAAGTTCATCAGTCAGAGATGGAGCAAAAGCAATCGATACGAGCCACTTTTGAGGAAGTTTCTTCGATGCACGAAGTACCACTCTCTTCGTAAGTGCAATCTTATTGGCATATAGATATAATAACATTCGTAACTATTTTATTGAATTTGTTTGTATCAGGCTCGGTTTCATGCAAGAGGAACCAATCGATTGGGATAGTGTCATCCTACCGGAAAAAACTGACTTGTATCAAGAACTTGCTAGGCGTATTACCAATTACAAGTACATTTTTTTCTGTTTTTGCTTTTCTTTTTTTTTTAGAAATATAATTCAATGTTCAAATTATATCGTACAGTTGTATGTTGTTCAAGGAATGCTGATTGCATCGTTAGAATAGGCCAAGATGAATTTCACTGTCACCTTTTGGTACTTCAAAGCTATAGTACATTCTTCGATGAACAAAATAGTAAAGAAATTGATTTGACCGAGGTAAATTTGTTTGATATTGTTTGCTATTACTTATTGCAAAACTTTTTTCTTTCTTTAATATGTAACACATAACATGCTAATCAATATCTATGAAATAATGCACAGAACACTGTGACTTCAAAAGCATTTTCTATTATCTACGATTGGATGATCAGTCCAACGAGCGAAAGTTGTCATCTTTTACGTAGAGATAACATTTTAGAGATCTTCACGTCCGCTCAGTATCTCGGCATTAAAGGTTATTTATTCAACAATTGTTTTATACGAATTCGATTTATTCGAAAATAAAATATCAATGATAGAAATTGATAAATTTATTTTTTCTTTTTTATAGAATTAGAAGAACAATGCTGGGCTTTTATAGATAACGATGAACTATTTTCGGAAAATACTGCATTTTTATTATACATGGAAGCAAAGAAGATTAATAATACTCCGGTAATGGAATTAATGGTGCCCAGAATAATGAAATTCTTTTTGATACTCGTCAGCACAAAAGATTTCTTGGAATTGTCAATTGAAGAATTGTGTCTTTTGTTAAAATCAAATTATATTTGCGTTAATAGGTGATATAAGATTTTTATTTATAATCATATAAAAATGTGTTGAATATTATTGTCAAATTGTTGTTAAATTTCTTGTAGCGAGATGGAGGTTTTAATGTCTGCCGTAAGATGGTTGATGCACGATTGGGAAAACAGAAAAAAATATATGTTGGAAGTATTGAAATGTGTAAGATTTGGACTAATAGCACCCTGGCAACTTGTCGATGTTAAAAGGAATCCTGAAAATCCTGAATTCATAGAATTAATGTCCTATCCTGAGGTACAGAAAATGGTAGACGATGGTTTAGCGTAAGAATCATATTTTACTTATATTTATTATATACTTTTTTTTATTTTCTATGAAAATGATATCGAAAAAAAAAATAAACATTATATTTTTGCAATCCAAAGTTTCGTAATCATCAAATATTGGTACGGTAATCAAACCGAAGATTATTATCACTGGATCGATTTACTTGGTCTGATAGAACCAACCAATCGTAATTGGGCTGGAGAGGATAAGGTATTCTCAGATTCACTCGACACATCTTCCGCGATATTCAATAAATATATAGCATTCTTTGTTTTATATTGTATTTAAGAATTACGTGACCTATCGAGAATTCTTATTATATCTGGAGGAATATCAGAAGACGAAAATATCAGAACTTAAAATTAGCAAGCAACAAACTAAGCCAAGTTTATCTAATTCATTGGCCAAGGATTATCACCAATCTAATTGTCAGCAAAATTATTCCAATCGTGAAACTATCAAGTCAGGTATATATTTTTCTTTTCAATGAAATTCTCTACTCGATTAAACGATGTCAGAAATAAAACAAATAAAAAAAAAATGTTGAAAAAGGTCAAGGAAGTAATGCAGGAAAAACTTCAAAATACTGCACACCCAAAGTATCACCTTGCAATTATTTAGCTGGCGAATCGTCAACCGGTATAACGATGACACCGGAAATGTTAAGCACGTACCTTAATAACTTGGATAGAAACAACGGGAAGGTGGTGGTGAGTAAGTCACCGGCAGACTCCTTGCAAAATGCAACCAATCGAAGGGGTATCTAAACAGTCGAAAAAATGAAAAGCATTTATTTAGATTTAAACACGATTAAAAAGATATCATTTTTGATAAGTTCATCTATTTTGTATCGTTGCGTATATATATGTTTAAATAATATAATTATTATTATCATATATATATATATATATATCTCTTTTTTTTTTTTAATATCACAGTATAATTCTTGATAAATTATTTACTAATGGAACTATATACAAAAAGAAACTTATTGGTAAGTCGTAACGATTGAGAAATTCATTTCACAATCAGTGGTAATCAAAAAAACAAAATTGTCTTTGTATTTCCATGGAGTGTATATTTTTCAGAATAATCAAATACAGCAGGATCAAGAAAGAAATAACAAGCAAGTTAATTTCGAGATTAAATCCAATGACGACGCGATATTACAAAAGAGATCCTGTAATCCAATAAAAAATGTAATACAATTTATATGAATTATATCGATCTAACATGTGGTAGGAGTTAAATAGGGTTCTATATAATATTAGATGATCGTAACGTAACGACCATATCGATGTAAAGACATTTTTCCTTCGGATAATGAAAACAAACATTGACATTTGATTTCTAGAACGTTAAACAATCTAATTACGAAACTCGACAACGAAGTAATACGACGAACCATCATCGCTACTATCAACAACAAGATTTCTTAATAAAAAAGCAACTAAAGAAAAGTAAGAAAACTAGATATTCCCATGAAAAGGCTATTTATTCATCGAAGTCTGAAGAAGATGCAGCTACTATGATACAAGCCACGTATAGGGGTTATAAAGTCAGAAGAAAATACGACGAGGTTGATAGAGAAATTTTTTCAAAATATTCTCAACTCGTTATTATTTTCTACGGAAAATGTTGCATTATACATTTTCCTATATTTATAGATTAAAAAAACGTCATCCGAGGAGAAGCAGAATACGAAACACGTTGCGGAAGTTTTGTCGGCATCAGTTGATCAAAAGATGCCCTATGAGCCTTTGGAACCGATGACAATTTCGAACAGTTTAATGAGTCAAAAAACCAAGGAAAGTGGGATACAACAAGGTACAAGTCAGCGAAAAAAGGAAAGAGATAATTCGAGGAATCAACCGAGCATGGTTAAAAATCTGAAGGGACTTCAAGTTCGTAGATATTATCATTTTTAGGACAATAGTTAGGGAATAAATTACAAATTGCATTTTTCAGTACGATACGTTTGAAGAATTGCCGAGTCAGAAGCAACCTACGAAAACGTCTTACAATAATTTATCATATTCAACGGACAACTCTAAATTAATAAAAACAATAAAGTCTCCAACATTTTTCAATAATTGCGACGAAATAACTAATTCTTTTTCTCATTCGGACAAAACCGAGCCTGACGATTCATTTTCTCCGAGAACGTGTACGATATCTACGAATACAGGTAATAATGTAACAGAGAAAAACGATGTTGTCGAAAGAACAAATGGAACGCGTTATCAAGGTGGAGATAATACGGAACGTTGTTTACCGAAATCAAAAGAGATTCAAACTCGTCTCTGCAATTACATGAGACCATTGTGAGCAGATTGTTTTCAACAGATCGATCGTCTATACATTTTGATTATTTAGAACAATTACTTTGAATAATTGTAACTTTCAATCTATTTTGAACAGACCACAAAGATTGAGCAACAGCCTTTTAGGATCTAATATCGACGGTTGCTTTTTGGATAATTCTTTATTTTATCCTGATCGCGAATCTATCCTAATATTCGGTGGGGTAGATCCTCACGAAGAATATGGTCATCCTGGAGCAACTGGCAAGGATATTTATAGGTTCAAACCGGACGAAAATTTATGGGAATTTGTCGGAGAAATTCCCGAACCACGACATCATCATTCCGTCGTTCACCTGAAAGGTCGTATTTATTTAGTAGGTAAGAGATTAAGTATTAATTACAAGCAATATTAATAAAATTATAAAACATAGGATATTATCCTCGATAGAAAAAGGAATTTGATTTCTTTTGCTTTTTTTTTTTGTCGATAGGAGGAGCGGATCCTCGAGAAAACAATTTTCAGAGAAAAAGTATCATAGTTGGAACGGTTTGGAGCTACGATCCTACTACCAGAGTTTGGTACAACGAGGATGACATGTTGACGCCAAGAAAAAATTTTGTACTCGTAGTCAGCCATGGAAAGATGTTCGCCATAGGAGGTCAAGATAAAAACGGGATGTGAGTTGTTTTACAAAGGAAAAGAGTTTATTTTTCTTATATAACGAACAACAAGACGATTCGTTAGCATTTCTTCAGTGCATTGAGAACTGCCGAGGCATTCGATCCATCGGAATCTACATGGAGAGAAATACAACCTATGTTTACGGCAAGGATAGGTGCTGCCGGTATAAAATATCGTGATTTTATTTGGGTCGCTGGCGGCATGACAAAATCGAAGAAGGAACTATTCTCGAAGAACGTCGAATGTTACGACCCAGTCAAAAATTCGTAAGTCATTCGTCAATTATATATCGCAGTAATGTTAGTATGGTTAGTTTTTTATTCTCATTCTAATTACAGATGGTTGAAGATAGACCCATTGAATTCACCAAGATGTTTCGCCACTCTTTACGTCGTTTCCGATTGTCTTTACGTAATTGGAGGTGCTTCGACTACAGAAAATAGTACCGATAGCATAGATTCTATTGATATTTGGGATCCTCATCTTTGCGTATGGAAGGAAGAAGCTAAAATGTCGATTGCAAGACACGGTCATTGTACTGCATCGATAGGTCTGCATTTATTTATCATTTAAATACAAAAACCTATATATATTGATATTTTTTTAGGTGCCCAATTATTAATAATTGGCGGTGTAACAACGGTCTTCATGAAAACGTTGAGTAGTGTAGAATGCTATTGTTGTGAACAGGGCAAATGGATAAAAGGTGTGTCACCTCTGCCTTATGCCATTTCCGGTCACAGTACCGTAACATTACCACCAGCAAATCTTTTAGTTAACTCTTGACGTTAGATAAAAAGGGACTAAGAGAATAATCTCACGAATAATGTTTTTAATATCGAATTCATGTGTATGCGATAATAATTTATCAAATTTTCTACTTATTTATATTCAAAGTTATGTAACGTGATCGTGTAATAAAGGATAAAAATGGTTTCAAACGTTGTCGAGATTAATTGTGAAAATATAATATAAAATAATCGATAACGCACAAATAGTAGTTAATTGCTTTAGCACGAAAATTACTAATGTGCTTTCGCAAACCAATTTTTTATCTTGATATACTTTTCAGCGATATATAATATTATAATATTGAAGGAAAAAGACATACGTACAATCAGGCATGCATCTTGTTAATATGAGGCTGAAACTTAAATCTAGTATTATTAGATATTTCATATCTATCATTCTTATATAATACAATGAAATTTTATATACGTTTAAATTATTTTCAAGAGATCGTTTTATATTTGAAGTTATTTATAATCTCTATAATGTAATATTTAATTTAATAAAACATTGTTTGCAAGAAAATTGTGTAAGTATTACAATAGGAATCAATAGTAATAACGATCTTTCGTATATTTCAGGTAGGTGTCAGCACTATATTTCTATGACACGTAATGCCATCTGACGAGAAAAATACACAACGAGAAGTCACCAAGCATGCGTGGAAGTTTCGAAAAAGAGGTTTCGGATTCGAATGCGACGAGGTAAGTGGCCACCGTGCGGATTAACGCGAATTAACCTGAAAATGGCCGAATCGTGTGACTCCGGAGTGTCAAGTTTAGTGACTTGTGTCATGTCTCATGGACAAACAACATTACCGGATACGACGAGCGAGGAAGAGGAGACGATAAGATGCACCATTCCTGGTGAGTAAAACCAATCTAGAATATTTTCTACATTCCGTACCCCTCTCGGGGAGTTTATTCAAACCGAAGTGTCGAGCGCGGCCATGCAACAAGTGGCACGGAGCGCTCTTGCATGCCGGACAGGTACGTCATAAGAATTTACATTACCCCGATCCAAATATATACATATATATTCTATTTCATTTATATCCATTTATTTATTATTGCAAATTTCTATATAATACAATTACTTGTTTTCGATATATTCATTAAAAAAATGATATATTGCATATAAGATATTAGAAGATAATTAAATGTTCATTATAAATTAGAGATACGAACAATATTATTTTTCTTATCTATATAAAATAAAACAATATCTCGAATAAATAATATAACAATGACAAACGATTGTCGGTTATCGCACTACTATTTCGATTATCGAATGACGTCACAAACAAATACAGAGACCTCCCTCCGATGTGTCATCATATTTATAGTGTGTCCCTTATATTTTATCATGAATATTTTTGTCAATTAAATAGCGATTATTCGCTTATAAGTTTGTGCCAATAATTATAGAATATTTCTTAATCGTCAAATTGAACTTATATTCTCGTGAATGTTGATAAATTGAAGTATCGAAAAGAAGAGAATTCAAAAGTCAAATTTCAAAGGTTCTTCCGCGGGAATGTGTTCGCGGCGATTATTCGGGCGGGAAAATTGATGAAAATCGAATGGTTTTCATAAATATAATATAGATTCATTTGAAAAATGATTCTCTATTGCGAAAAGCAATTATACCGTAAAGAGAAAAAGCCCGGACAACGTTTCTCAGACTTACATCACTGTTAGAGAGAAAGATTGCTGCCGGTGGTGGACGGGAGATTGGGAAATGCTTTTTACATAGCACATAGCATGGCGACGCGCGCGCGATGGTGTATAATATTCTCTTGTCGATCCCTTGCATATCTATCAATTGAAACTGATTTATTTTATCAAAACTTTGATTTAAGTGTATTCATACGCGATTCTCGATTCGATACAAAACTTCCACAACTACAAAATCAACAAAAAACAAACAAACATTTGCTTTCTCATTTTGTTTGTCTGTTTACATATTTGTTTCTTTCGTTGTTTTAGACAGAAAAAGAAATCGATAGTTTAATTAATTAATCTATCGTAAATTTGATTTCTAAACGATCTTCTCTTAAGGAATTGTCAATAATGATGTTTCAATGATGATGTCAACGACAAGATCCGTTCGGTCGATTGTAATATATTAAGATAAGAGAAACTATTATCCGTAGGACGATGCGAATGTTGGCTTTCACAACGTATGATAAGGATAAACGATTAGTGGAAAGTTTTAGATAAGGTAAAATGAGGACGATAACTTATCGTATGATAACGTTTAGATATTTACTTTGACGGATTCTTTAACATCCTGTTACTTTTCCTTTTTATGTTTCTAGGGCATTGAACAAAAATTGTCTATAATTTACAATTTATTTCTACATAAAATAAGAAACGATAATTGTGGATTTGTTTTATCAATGCATGATAATGCAGTTTCTTCGTAATATTTGTTTGTTCATTTAGTTATTAACAAAAATATAAATAAAAATGATCTCTAAACGTGTATATATTTAAATATTTTTAAAATCTGTTTTTATTTGTGGAACATATGATGTCCATATTTATGTTTACATTAGATGTCGCTAGTAGTTGGTAAATGTTTTGCTCGTTAGTGACATTGCGAGAAACAATCTGTATCGAATGTTCTACCGTGCGTGATTAAATTTTGAGGTTAGGATATTCTCTCATTCGATTAAAAATAACAAATATATTTTGATCATATATAGACAAAGTTAGTATGTCTGTCATATTACCGTTATCGCTGGAGGATTATTTAGAAAAATTGGACGAAACAACAACTCGACATGAGTATTTCCTCGCTTTGTTTGTTGTTCTTTTCTCAGAATGTGGTTTTTATGTACTAGAAGAAACATCTTCTGGGTATGAGCATCTTTTCTTTAAATTTTATCTCATAAATCAATAATAAGTATATATTGTATTATATATTTATTATTCGTATGCGAATAATGTAATATATATGAATATAAATCATATACATATATTGTTGAATACGTGTTTACAGATCTATATTTATATGCACACATTATAACTGATTAATATGTACATTTTAGCAACAAAAAAAAGCAATTTACACCACCAAGTCAATGGAAGGTTAGGGAAGATACATATGAAATCAAACTCGTGTTGAACGATCTACCTAATGTGGTATGCAAATTAATTGCCATATCTTCCGGAGATAGATTAATTCTTAATTTCTTTTCTACTGCAAAAGAAAGGAATATATATAGTCTTGCCCTAAGAATTACCAAATATATGAATCCTTATCCACACCACATTAATGATCGCTTTATGAACCTTAAGGAAATATCGGATAGGTAAATCAATATCTGTTATAGGTATAATATCAAATGAAATTTATATCACATGCACTGTATATTTTCAATCCATTAGGTTCAAAAATGAAATAATTATGGGAGTACGATCAGATATTTTAACAGAAGCTGGTATTACCAATCCTAGTCTTCAGGGTTTACCTATAGAATTGAAATTTAAGATTCTGGCAATGTTAGATGCTCGTTCATTAACAAGGCTTTCACAGTGCTCCTATCAATTTAACATGTTATGTAAAGAATCATGGTTATGGCAAAGATTGTTCGAAAAAGATTTTAGAGAAAAACAAGAAAAATCACATGAAAATTGGTTTATGGCCTATCGAACAAAATATTTGGAATCCAAAGCATATGAAATTAACATCGAACGAATTTTCAATCACCGTCCCGGATATGCTTCATCTTGGGTATATTTATTAAGTAAATCTATGTTTTTAAAAGACGCTGGTATTCTGTCATATTTTTATATCTGTCCATATGATTCACCTTAAATCCTATTTAGATATAAAGTACCAACGTAGAATAATGTTGGGACAATGTGAAATAAAATATCTCTCCACTTAATAGAGTTGGTTCCATGAACGGTTTATCTACCGGGACATATGACATATTAGGAGTGTAAATGGAAACAACATAAATAGAACCACGAAAAGCCATTTAAAATAAGGATCTGCTCCGTATTTTCAAATATGTATTACGAAATAAATTGGAGATTATTTGAATCTGTGTTTTCACACAATGCATCATAATGATATATGAACTGTGGACTCAAGCGCATTAAAGTGAATCCATGTAAATGGAGGGATCACTGTACATATATTGTACTTATTCTATAATGTAAACAATATTTTATAAATATTTTCTTAGTTATAATGAATAATAATAAAATAAGAACCAAAATATTTTCTTATATACATAAGTATATTGTTGTCGTTTATTGGTTTGAGGAACTTTTCTACAACACCTTCTCAATATAGTCCACCTTTCGAAAAAAAAAAGAAAAAACTACCTTACTGCCTCTAAAAAATTACGTATTCAAGTAATTACCATACCCATTGTTACTTAACTTTAGTGATTGTATGAAAATTAGTTTTTTCAAAGAGACTTATATACACATTTATATAGATAGCATATAAGCTATAGATTGTAATCATTATTCAATATATAAACGAAAGTATACTTTTGTTTTAGAGGATGAAAGGACAAAGACCGTAGCAGCATGCGACAACGTGGAAAAGGAACGTACCAGCTCGCAAATTAACGGCGATACCGGTAAGTGATACCATGGAATTTGCGGAAATTCAAAGCTACGATCGATTCGATACGACCGATGGTAGAACAGAACGAAATTCATTTAGTTATTGTATTAATATTATCATTCATTTCATTTCAATATGTTTCTTCTTTGTGTATATATTATGGTGGTCTTTAATATGGGATCTGAAAAGAAACCACCATATAAGAATCACCCCCTAATATATATACTGTTACAAATACTATCTATATTTTAAATATATTTCAAAAATTTCATCGACATATATTTATAGATACATCTTGAGAATAATTTGTTAAGAGTTTAAGTGATTATTTGTTTAGATAGAAGTCGAGAAATATCTATGAATCAGCAGCAGGTTCGTATCTTTTTATTCTCAGCAGGTTTATCCGCATTCCAATAGAATACCAATGAAATTCAACAACAATAACAACAACAACATGTACGAACGGATCTACTGCGTAAATCGAAACTCAGGGGGGGCTGAAAAAAAAGAAGGAAATACGAAACATTAACCGGATACATAAAACGTGACTCATTAACGCGCTAGATATAAATTTCAAGGGAAGAGTGGAAAGAAAGAAAGAAAGAAAAAAGAAAAGAAATGAAAAAGAAGCTTAAGGGGGTATCTCTCTATCTTTCTTTTCTTCATTCTCGTTGGCGTGGAAGTATCGTTCGTCGAAAGCTTCATAAAAATGATGCCAACGGGCACATTAAGAGTCGTCGTCGTCGTAGCAAAAGTAGAAAAGAATTTTCTAGCTCCATTGACCTTCGTTCGAAAGTACTACGAACTAACCGTGAAAAGCTTCTTTAGAAAAATCTACATACACATACATATATATATATATATATATATATATATATTTCTACTCGAAGAAATTTTCGGAGTAAACCAAAAATTATAATTGCATTTTATTTGAAAGCATTCCTCCTAAAACGATTCCTATTAAAATTCTTTTACTAAAAGAAAAGAAGAGGGGGAAAAAAAGTCGTAGGGCGGAGAAGGAATGGAAGAACCGTCGGCATTCGACGACGTTAGTCGAATTAGGTCGAATTGGTCGAAGGTTAACGAGAAATCAGGTCACTGATCTAGGCGAACAGAGGGGATGGGAATTGGGCGGTTGGGGGGCCGGGGCTTGCGAGAGAAAAAGACAGAAATATATTTCGGGTTTTTCTCTCTTTGGCGTTCTTTTTTTTGGCGGGGGGATGGAAGGAAAAGAGAATATTTGTATTTATTCTGTCCATTTGAATTTTGGAAACTGGTAGATTGGATTGAGAAAGAAAAATGTAAAAAAGGTATATGATAAAATAGATATAAAGGCGCGTGGGTCCGGGGCCACGAGATACGCGCATATTTCGAGGCCGGCAGAGCTTTTAAGCTTGCGCTGTTTGAACCTCGGTTTTTCCATCATCTTCTCTCTCTCTCTCTCTCTCTCTTCCACCCTCGCAGCCATGGCACTTGGTTGGTACACACACTTGGCACGGGGTTGCTCCCCGGTTTCTCTCTCATCCCCAGTGCGCGCATCGAGCCCGTCCTGGACGAAAGTCCTTCCCGTTTCGTCTTTCCCTTTTTAGGACGCACGTTTCTCACGAGAAAAAAACAAATATATTTATATATATATATGTAGACGTACACACACAGAGACGACTCGATTGTTCTCATCCTCCTCCTAGTTCGATAAATACAAGAAGAAGATAATATTTAAACAACGCGTGTTTGATTTTACAATTATAGTGTGTGTGTGTTTGTTCATCGAATTCTGTCTGATATATTATTATCCTATTGGAATGAATTATCAAGTGTGCATTTGTTTTTCTGGTGCATTATGTGGGAATAAGTGTGTTTTTTTGTATTTGTTAATCGTATCACACATATTGGTATTGTCCTTGTTAGTGAAACGTTATTCGATGCAAATTACGTGCATCAGTTTCGTCGATCGCTCGGTTCGCGACTTTCCGTTCCTCCTTATCGATTGTCTGGATAACTCGATCTCCTCCATCGAGACGAACATTTTCAAATTCTTTTGGTAAATAGGAGAAACGATATTTAATATTTAATAGAATAAATATATATACTTCATTGTAGTTTTTTCATTCATCTTTCTTGAAAGAAAAAAAACCTTTCTTTATATATATAAATATTGTAGAGAGTGGGTTACGCGAAGCTTTCAAAGGAAATTAAATTAAGTTTCCAAAGTATTTGCATGAAACAGTTTTAATCTCATCAGCAGCACGTAAACACAATATGGATTCTCTTTGAAATTATATTTTATTACGAATTAGTTGAAAATATTCTCTCTCTCTCTCTCTCTCTCTCTCTCTCTCTCTCTCTCTCTCTCTCTCTCTTCTCTTACTTTTATTTATATTTTAAAGCAATAAAAAAAAAGTCAAGCGGTTATTCCTCCGAATGATATGAGAGGGGATGTTTTTTTTTAAAAAAAAAAGAAAAAATAGCGTAGAAAATAAAATCGATACACACATATATATGTATACATAGGAGAAATACGAATACAATATGCGAACGTAATTATACGTAATTATGAAAAGGAGGGTTGGGGGAGGGGTGGGTTGGTAGTAGGATTGATTTTTAGTGGGAGATGATTTGGTGTTCGTTATTAGCGTTGCGCTTTCGATTTATCTCGAGAAAGAGGGTGGCCTTCCGCCAACAAAGGCGCGGTTCAATTTCTCTCTTGGACCGTTCCAACTTGCGATCGATCAACCAACTAACTCGTTTGAGAGAAGAACGTGTTCGACATAATATAAATAGCATCATTGTAGAAATTTCGAATGGGTTTACGGTTTGAAAATAAATCCGCGAATCTCGTTGGTTTAACTTTCGATCGTTCGATGTCTCTCAATTTGAAAGCAATAATTTTAATATATTGCAAACGTTATGATATGATCTACGTTTTCATCGATCTAATCGAAAAATAATTATAATATATTATCCTTTTATTTTCTATTATTTTATATTGGATAAAATGAATAAGTGAAAGTAAGAGAGAGAGTTTTTTTGTTTACGCGCAGGAATATCGAATATTAAATTCGATTAATCGAGAAGTGCATTATTGTATTATCGAGATTAGAATCGATCGTGATCGTACCGCGACAGGTATGTCACACAACATCCAATAAAACGTAAGGACTTTCCCCTCGGCATTTGAATCATTCATTGGTTTCCTTGAAAGTTGCATTACGTACTCGAGAACTTTGCTTTTCGCATAACGTTTTACGTATACTATTTGTTCTGATTTAAATTTATTTTGTATTTTTGTTGGAAAAGATTTGAAAAATGTACGAGAATCACTTTTTGAAACTCGAACCGAGGAGCGTTATCGAAACAACAAGAAGATGATTAAAGGATCTGAAGAAGAAATAAAAATTGAATTGTTTTTTTTTGTTGAAATGTGTGAAAATCTCATTTTGATTGATTTAAGTGGAATAGAATAATTTTCATAAAAAAATAATAATAGTGCGAACGAATTTATCGATTTTAGATATGACACTTATGTACATTTCATTCGATTTTGATTATATTATCACGTTAATGACAATGACAGTGATGATAACGATCATATCATAATGCAAAACTTACTTAGAAAACGTATTAGGAGTTTTTTATGTGAACAAAAGTGTTTCAAATATTCATCGTTGTTTTATTAACGACAAGACGACGCCAACAGCAACAATAACAACGTGGATTCAAAAAGGATATCTCATTTTGATAATTGTTGAAAAAGTTGGTTCGACAAATCATCTTTTGGTTGAATAAAATTTGTAAGAATATTCGAAAGGTTTGAAAAACCAAAAGCAAAACCAAAAATAAAAAGAAAAAAGTCAACTTTGTTTGGATTTCAATCTGTCGCTTTCGGGAGTAGTGAGCCTGCTGGGCCTCGCCGATGACGACGAGGTTCTAGCAGGTACCTCCGAGGAAAACAGAAAGAGAACACTCTGGCAATTCTACTCGACTGGGATGTTAACCCATAGTCACAGCGATGGAGAATTCCCCATTTATTCTCACGGTGAGTTTCAATTCTACACTAATCATTTTCCCATTCCGTTTTATATATCACAAGGATGTATCTTTATATATATATACACTTTTACTTATTTATTAATAATAATTATTTAATTTTAAATTTATATTCTCAAGAACGGTCCGATTATTGGTCCGATATGCCAATCAATATTACCTTCAATTACCAGGAAACAGGAAGAACGATTTATTTTTGGTATAGTTACTTTTTTAATAACCGTTCATGTTTAAAGTCTATTACAATTTACGTGATATTATTTTTCAATCGTTTGATTTTATTTTTCTTTCGTCGTTTCTAACCGATGAAAGAAAACGTCGATTTTAGGAACCTTTTTCGTCCATTTTTTTTTCTTTTTAACGACCCCACGCACTTCTGAAAACATACAATCGAAACTATTGATGAGTCAATCGGACATATTAGAATACCTTCCTTTTGAAATCTCGTCAAAATACGAATGACTCACCCAATAGCAACGTAAGATATAGTTGTTGACCTTCTCTTCAAGTTTTCAAGTGACCATTTGACGTTACGATAAAGATTAGAATTCCGATAGTTAGTTTTTCCGTACCAAAACAACGGATAATAGCGTCTGCTTTCTCGATCGCCTATGCAAGAAGAAAATTATTCAATTTTCATTATTTTCATAGATAAACATTTATTTAATACTAAACCCATCTCCGAAAATCTTTTAATTTTATTCAAAAGTATTTGTGTAATAATAGAATGTTTTACCAATTGGTGTGGAACGAACAATCACGACAAAAATAAGGAAAATACAAATGAGAAACGTATTCTTCATGTTTCAAAATTGCATTATTTTGATTGTTGTTCTCGACAAACGTGGATAACTCAGCATGCACTGATCATGCACTTTTGCATCGATAGATTGCATTTCTTTTCCTTATATATCCTTCGTAGAATAACAAAGTGTATGGAATATTTCGTTGGCCTTACTACGAATGCTCGTTAATTTGATTTTTAGGAAATGTGGTAGAACGATGAGCGATCTTGTTAACTAGTATGGTACACTAATGGTGTAAACGTGCATGGTCAGAACATAAATAAGATTAGTAAGGCGAATTTGAAATAAAAATTCTCGGAATGATTGCAAGATATTTTCTTTACGTTTATTATTATTATTATATTAATGTCTGGAAGAGGTCGAGAACGTGAATTTCTTTGGCGATAATAAGAATTGTTAGATCGTTTTGTCTTTCTTGCCTTTAATGGAAACAAATTAAACGTGTACGATGTATTGTTTTATGAATGAAATTAAATGAAAATTATATTTATATTATATTTATCGTTATATAAATAGCCGCATTAAATTCGTGCTCGTATCATAACGTGTTTTAAGTCAACTTCACCGTGTAATTATAAAATAATGAATATCTTATCCGATCGTTTAACTTCCTTAATGAATTTTCTCAAATCTGAGATCTACCTAAATTGCTTTCTTGCGTTCCGAAACATTTTATTAAAATTACTAATCCAATTTTCAAAATATAAAATAAAATTAAATTGACAAATGTACATCTACTATTTTATAACAAAAAATTCTTTTCCTTTTGTTTTTTCTTCTTCGCATAATAATAACGAACAAAATGTGAAATATTTTTCTAGTTATATTTATTCCTATACTTACAATGATATTTCAAGTTTACTTTCATTAATGCATTTTATAAGGGATGCTAAGTTATATAAAATCTCGATAATTATACAATTAGAACTGCAATATTCCTTGATCTTAACGACATAGTCATTGAGATTGTCAATGATATATATATATATAATAAACGAGTTTAGTATATATACTAAACTCGTTTATTAGTTGTAGAACACCAAGGACAATTCTCGAGAACAATTAGTACCTTTTTATTCGTTTCATAGATACTGAGAAGTTAAACGAACGATATTACATACAAATTAATCTAACGAGAGATTTTGTTATAATTATTTTGATTTTAGCATCATCTATCTATATATGCTTTATAAAATCTTGTAATATCTTCATTAACAATGTTCACGAGTGTTGTTTAATACTTGAACACTTTAATTACATTCCTTGAATTTATGTCTTTAAGACGATTTAATGTAAGACAAAAAATTAAGATCACGGTAAAAGGAATGTCCGCTTTTTTTTCTCTTTCCTTTTTTTTCTTACTCCGCGTACGTGTTAACACGTATGCATAAGTTTGTATCAAATTGCAACACATTCGAGTACGCTTGCAACACGCATATGTGTACATTAATATATACATGTAAAGTGCTTGCTATTAGTTCGGTTTTACCGTATGGAACGTAGTTCGTTTTTTTGTGTAGAACATTATAACAAGTTTCAAAGTGTGCAATTTATGTCAAGTCGCAGTAATATTATCCTGATAGCGTATGAATTTTAATTGGAAACTCGACTGAATTTTTCGTTAATCAAATGCGAACGGAAGAAGAAAATTATTTTCTTTTTTTTCCATTCTCTCCTATGATTTATTTTTCATTTTTACTTATTTTCTTTTATTCATCTCGTCAACGAACAAACACGAACGAAACGAGTCCTCTGCTCTATTTTTTAACTTTGACACGTGACTTTATTTAGTCCAAACTTTTCTACCTTCAGTGGTAGAAATGTGGGTGGGTATTTTTTCGTTCGCACATTCTTTCGTGTAGTTTTTGGGAGGGAAATTTTCAAAATGTGTCCTGAAAATTTCCAAGGGAAAAATTTATGAAAATAACCCATAGAAACTACTACGACTGCATGTTAAACTTCGAAGAACATTTTTTCAAAACCTTCGCGTGCATTTTTCTCTGAAACTTCTTAACCGATCGACTTGCAATTTTGCGAATATGTAAAAAACGTGTCAGGTGTTATCATTGGACAGGTCATTTTTTATCTTGCTTTAATATTAATACTTTTCTGGACCGTGAGAAGTGAAAATTCTTCAAATTATTTATTTTCAAATGAATAAAACATTTGATTAATCTATCAGATAACAATTGTGTTGCAGATATTATCCGATCTGGCCTTTAAGAAAATCAACAATTTTTTATATGGGATGGTCATGGATAAACAGCCGTAATAAACTATTTGATTCATGTGTATTGATATATACGTGTATGCGAAATGTTAAGTAATAAATGAAAGGTTACTTGCTTTCGTTGAGAATGTAAATTACATACCATTCTCTTTTATTAAACTTGCTCATACGTTACATGATTCTCATCGTAAGATGGATGGTAGAAAGAAAAGAAAATAGGAGGAAAATTTTGTTGACTATGGTAACGAAGAGCGCGAAAATAATCATTGTCAATAAAAAAAATAAAGGAATGAGAGAGGGAGGGGGGAGGGGGCGGGAAATATGTGTGCAATCACTATGTAATCACTTAAAAAGCGATATTCAATAACGTTCTCAATTCATTCGCGCTAAATACCTATTTTCCATTGGCTTTCGATGAAAATCCAATACCATCGTTCCTATTTTTTCTTCTCTTTTTTTACCTCTCTCTCTCTCTATCTCTCTCTTAGTCTCCTGCTTTGTTTCTTGTTCTTTTTTATGGAGGACGGAAGCCGTGTCGCTTATATATAATCCTACGCATAGCTAGGAGAGAGTCAATGCTTGGATTAATCGATTATCGTTATTAGGTTAGCATCGATAAGCACTTACAAGTGGTTTACAAACTCGAGAGTGTTGTGTATCTTTGCATTTGGAAAGTTACTCTAATGCTTATCTCTTTTCATTACTTTTTTTTGTTTATAAAACTAATTATATAGGAAATATATTTTATCATTTTTATTCATTTATATATGAATAAAAATCATTTGTTAAGTTTATGAAAAGGTATAGTCAAATAAAAAGAAATAAATAAAGAAATAAAGACAAATAAAAATGATCAATTTAGTATATCTATTTTCGTATCGAAGGACTCATTCAACGAGATTATGTCACCGCGGGGTGGTAATCAAGGGATTCAGGGTTGTGGTGGTAATAGCTAAGAACGGAACAGTCGTCTATAGATTGTGGGGAAATAACAGGGTGTGCGGCATATACAATCCAATCATCCGTTGGTCGGTTGGTCACAAAGCCGGTGCTGGAGCCGATGCCGGTGCCGGTGCCGGGCCATTCTCGTCGTCGTCGTCGTCGTCGTCGTCGTCATCATCAAGGGGACAGTTCACCGGGCTTAAGTACTGCTGGCGAACCGTATTAACGTGTTGGTATAGCTGGATCGACGGAAGCCCACCAAGGCGTGCTAACGTCGACACACTTCTCTTCGATGTAAACACTATGAGTAGGTCGACTTCAGTATAACGGAGAACGCCGTACACGAAGCCAGTCTCTTCCTCTTTCTTTCTCTCTCTTTTTCTCTCTTTCTCTCTCTCTATCTCTCTCTCTCTCTTTCTATTTTTTCCTTTGTTTTTTTTTCTCACCCCTTACTTTCTCTTATGGTTAGATTTGTCCAGTTGGGAAGATAAAAAGGTTCATCTTTTTTGAAAGTTTTCCTTTTTTTCTTGTGTTGGTGCCTACGCAGGGTGATTCGAGGATTAATTCAGTGAATTATTAGAAAAGTCTAATAATACTGTGTTTTTGAATAAATGCAAACTGATAATCGAGTAAAGGAAAAGTGCACGAGAGATATATTTTGAAGGGGGGGTTTTTTTCTTCTTTTTTTTCGAAAGAATGTAGATGTTATATGGTGGTTTCTATGGTACTTTTGTTATCTTATTTTTGTATGAACATGTGGGACACAAGGAAGAGACTCGTAGGAAGTAAGTCATGCTTGACTTATGTTAATTACTGACATCAAAAAAAGCAGACTCACTCAAGTTCTCTCTCTCATTCGAAAAGTGAGAAAGGTGGTGTGCCTTTCATATGGTTTTTAATCGTGAACTTTTAAAAAGAATTCGTTGTATCGTCATAGTTATGTAGATTAGATGATACCAAGTGAATAGAATAAATGAAGTTTTGAGAGATTACCCATTCCCGAAGGAACCGAAAATACGAAAGAAAGAAGGAAAGGGAAATGAACGACTCGATAATTTTGTGTTTCTTTATAGCCCGGAACATATCATGATAATCAGTGATACAAGTGTGCATTGAAACACGTGACGAAAATACCTTAATTGGAGAAATAGCGATGGATTAGGCAGAATTGAGTCCTTCGAAGTGGACGTACAAAATATAAACCCGAAGTGCACCAACGTTACTTTTGTGTGCGTGTTTTTTCCTTTCCCTAAAATGTTCGCTCGAAACATAATTTGGATGAAAAATAAGTGACGAGGGAAACATTTTCATTGATTGGATTATCATTCGAAGGTTCGTTCGTTCATTCATTGGGAACAATTTGATCGTGCGATTTTAATCGTCGAATTTTCAATGATTCGAATATTTTTTTTTTCTTTTTTTTAAAAGACATTGACAATTAAAACTTTAAATGAACATCCTGGTGATGCGACGAGATTGTGGATCGTTCGTTTCAACATATTTAATTCAACTTTAGAATGAGTCTCTGGCGATTTGGTCCTCTAAAAGACGGTATGTTACTTTGCATATTATATTATTTATATATATATATATATATATGTTTTCTTTTCCTTTCCTTTCCATACTTTTTCTGCACGTTAAAGTGCGCCAGTCAAATTAAGAACGATCGATTGTTTCGAAATGTCAACCTTTTTTCTCCGAATATTCTCCCGTTAGATCGGTGTTGTTTAGTTAACCCCTTGACATACAAATAAAACGAAAATTAGGTACGTCAGCAAAAAATACTATTTATAACTAAACTGGATAATTATAATAATACAAACTATACGTGTAAGGAATGCAAGGGTGGTCCCAAGAGTATAAAATAACTGTATGTGCGATCAGTTGAACTGAAATTCAATGTCAGAATATGGAAAGTTCTAACGTTAATTGGTTGTATGTGTGTATGATGATATATGCACGTGGATCGATAGTTATTGCCAGATACAAAGTTGTATACCGACTTCTTGCGTGATTTTCATCGGTCCCACCTATCACATAACTTCGGTGCATGATTGTATAGGTATAATAGATAGATGGGAAAAAGAGAGAGAGAGAGAGAGTGAAGAGCTTTACACGGATGACAAGATAGTTTCATCTGCATAATAAAGCTTAAGGGTTTAAGTGTTTGTATCGTCGAGTCACGAGTACTATAGGTGCTTCACTCGAAGCCTCAAAGATTATCTTTGAATATGAAGTGAATCCATGTTAATCCATTTTATTTTTTTTCTCTCTCTCTCTCTCTCAATTTTATTTCTCTTCCATCTTCTTTCTTTTCTCCTATCTTTGCTTGAATAACTAAATTCTTCATTTCTTGTCTCGCTTTTTTTATATAATTTAAAATGGATGAGAAAGATAAAAGACATGAAGAGGAAGAAAATACGAAAAGTGGTTTTATTAACACAGGACTCGAATAAAAAACTCTGTATACAAGGTTTTATAAATAAAAGTTAACTTTTAGCGCATTAACACTTTCATTCTGTTAGAGAAAAGTTTCGAAGAGATTGGGAAGGGAGGAGTATTTACAATCATTCTCTTAACAGATATTTTCAAGTAAAACTTCAATTATTTGTTTTTTATCTCGTTACGTATTTAAATACTTTTGAACGTAACTCAGCGTTAAGATGTATTTCATTTGAATATATAATTTTACAAAATTTTTAGTTTGATAATATATATCTTACAGAAAAAAGTAGTAGCACTATAAATATATATATATATATAACCATAATAATAATTATAATAAAATAAATATAATAATAATTTTGTTCCCACAACAATTCTTTTTTTAAAGAATCGTCTGTCGTTCTTCGGCAAGTTACACATGATGATTTTCTTCGTTTTTTTTTTTTTTTGAAACTTAAGTTCGTGGCTTCCTCCTCTCGTAGTTCATCCTCCAAGAGGAAAAACTCCACGCCCTTTTTCTCTCTCTCTATCTCTCTTTCTTTCTGTGTCCTATCAGCAAATTGAAGCACGTCTTGAAGAATGTAAGACGGTGATGACGACGGCAGTTACTTTCCACATATATCTGTTGTTGTCTTGTATTGTATATATTCACTTATACAATACACTCTTATACATTTCTATGTAAAGGAAGGCACGTTCTTAACCGGCAAGGTTTCGTTGACTCGACAATATAACCAGACAAAGCGAGAGAAAATACTCACTCAGTGGTATTGGTGATGCACAACGGTATATCGACATAGAAAAGTGGCGTTGATATTGAATAAAATAAGAAATACTACTGTTGAACGTCTAGACCATCGAAAGAACTCGCATTCCCGAACTATACCTGCTGCCTTCCTTCCTTTTTTTTTTAAGTTAATTCTTTTTTTTTCTTTTTTACCACACATTTTTCGATCATTTTCTACCAACAGTTAACTATTAAAAATGATCACCATACTGTTATATTAAATATACTTATCTTGAAATTCTTCTTTTAAGTATCTTACTTTTATCGTCGCAATATTCTTGACAATTGCTGCGAATACCGACTGCAAATGCAACTGCAATTGCAGGAAAGAATAAAAGTAAATCGGTCGGGGCCGAGGGTCATTGATTTCGTCGAATGGGATACTCGCGGAACGTTTTCCGTGCAAGTGAATATATCCGTGTTTCCGTTAATCCCCCCGCCCCCCCCCCATTTTCCTTTCTTTATTTTTATTTTTTCATTTATAGACTGAAAAAGAAAGAGAGAGAGAGAGAAATTGTGTTATTTGGTACCTACGCTCAACTGAAATAGAAATCGTTGCAATATCCTTTGAGATTGGGAAAAAAGTTTCTTGCGGTTCTAGTTAGAATGTAATTTTAATGTCTACGAGAAGAATAAGATAGAAATAAAGATTAACCGTTCTCTTAGAAAGATGCAAAGTAGTACAAGTTGCATGAATCTCGCTAGACTTTCTTTTGAACGACGCTTTTTAAAATACGATTAGAGAATAAGAAAATATTTTGATTGAAGTTGATTACAAAATGATTATTATTATTATTACGAGAAACGGAAGGTATAACTTAGCGATATTTGCGAGACGATTCTTTTTTTTTTATTGAAAGAAAAGAAAACTTGTTGATAATCTTTCATCGTGTTGGAAGAAGAAGAAGAATAATTATATTATAATAAATATTTTATCGAATGCGATGATTAGAATTTTTTTTGTAATTATATTTACAAATTAAATCAATGCCCGGTATATTATATTCATCAACGTCATTGATAAGCTCGTAGCTACAAAGACAAAGTCGATATTTTGATTTATTTTTATCTCGCGAGCCTTTCTTCGATGTTAAATCGAAGGGATTAATTCTTGCGTACACGACGAAGAAAAACTATCACGGCTTATAGGTAACCCTCCTCGAGAAATTATTTATAAAAATCGATATATATATAATAATAATAATAACAGAATAAAAGTATTGATAAAACATTTATAATATGATCAATAATCGAAAGGTTTATACGAGGAAATAACTGAAAATACATAATATACTCTTTATCAAAGTTTATTTTTTCATGTAATTTACGTTTAGTGCTTTTAAAAATATATTCTTGTCGATTTAATTCTCATTATTTTATTACAATGATAAAAGATTATTTTAACAAACACTTCCCGAGCGTGTGTGATCCTTACGGTCAACGAACGGCATTACGATTATTCTTATCGTAACTTCAAAGTCGAATAATGAATTATAATCATTATATCATTTTTATATTAAATTATAATAGTAATACAATACACATACCGAGAGAGAGAAAGAAAGAGAGAGTGCGTTTGTTCACTACAATGCAAGTGAAGAAGAAGCTTCACGCGTCAGTAAAATTAAATGGATGGGTAAGAAACACCACCGCCTGGTTTTGTTTCTATTATTAAATAAGAGCGTTATAAATTTCTTGGAAAACTAAAATCTATCACCGAGGAAACCCACTTCGTCGTACATATATTTCATATTACGTTTTCTGCCTTATGAGGAAGGAAATACTGATCTAAGCGAAGGGAAGAAATAACCTTGGTATACAACTTTTACTTAGGATTATGTGATTAATCATCGAATGTCTCTAGGAGTTAGCAAACAGTTACCAACTAAAATATATATATATATGATTTTTCTTATTTATTCTCTATATATTTTTGAAATATTTCGTTTCCATTTATCAACGTTTTTCAGGCGCGAATTCCATCACTGTAATTATTGTTTTATTTTACAGAACAATCTGGGGTACGAGTACATTATTGAAAAAGTATATATTTAAAAAGTTGACACTGCGTATATGTATATTCTATAAATGATTTGTTCAGTTCCCTGGGGAAAATAACAGCAGCAGCAGCCCCTCTCTCTCTCTCTTATCGCTTTATGGAACTTCCAATTTTTTTCTGATACCAAGAATTTACATCTGTAACTCGTTGTTCTCTGGAACGAAAAATATATTTGAAAAATAAGGTAAAGGAAGATAGGATTAAAACAGGTCGTGGACGCAACCATGTTTCTCATAGTTCACTGTTAGTTGGACAATTGTTAAACTGAGGGAGTTGAACCAACGTAGTAGTCGTCTTCGTTGTCCTCAGTGCGTAGATTCGCGAGAGTCGGTTTAAATTAGCGAGTCTAGACGCTTCGGAAATACCACGTGCACCACGTCACTCCCCATAACAACGCGTCGTCTTTTCAATTCTAACGTGTTCGATGCTGCTTCTCCCTCTTGATCTGTTGTTTGTGCTCCTTGCACAAAATGAAAGTTCTAGTACCTTATGAAAGAAAGAAACACCGTGTGTTGTTTGCCTCCGGCAAAATTCTATCTCGAGCTCCAAGTATTTAGAATCGATTGCAGAAAAAAAGCAATCGAACGCGACTATCGATCGTTGTTTTCTACGATAGTATCCTTCGTTCGTTATAACTCTGATTAATTCAGATGTTTTTCAGGGGGAATTCATTTGTTTTCTTTTTTATGTGTGCTTTTTAGCTAGAGGAGAATCATAAAAATTCAATAAAGGCAAGAAGGATGTTTCCTTTCGATCTCAGTGTACTTTTAATCTAATTGAGAAATTTCGAATAATTTAGATAAAGTTAAGAAATTTAGTTAGGATGTTATTTTACCAAAGTGAAAATGTGTGAATATCGAAAGAAATGAATGCACCCTTGCGGGTAAGGGGAGAGGATAAAAGTTACGACGAATAGAGTTGTCTTCCCCACCATTTAAACACGGGCCGACGGAGCATCGGCCCGTGGTCGTTAACGTGGACAAGTGGCGCCTCGTGGCGCTGCGATCGCAAGCTCGCCCTCAGTGTTCTCGAGTCTTGCTCGGTGTGTGTTTCGTGGTATGCTCGTGTCCTTGTCGTCGTCTTTTTCTCCTCCTCCTCCTCTTTCTCCTCCTCCTCCTTTTCCTCCTCTTCCTCTTCCTCCTTCTCCTCCTCATCTTAATCATCTTTATCATCATCGTAATAATCGTAATCATAATAATAATAATAATAATCATCATCATCGTCATCATCATCATTTTCTTCCTACTCCTCCATCGGTGACTCCTTACTTCTCGCATCCCATCTCTCTGTCTCGCTTACTCTATCTGTCCATCCATCTGTACGTCTCCCACCTTGCCCGTTTCTTCTCTTCCATGCTCGCTTACGCCACCGTCGTGGTCGTGGTCGTGGTTGTCTTTCTACTCTCAGCACTACTACAACGTTTGTTTGTACGCCACGTCCCGTGCGCTTGCAATTAATTCCGTCGGGGATCCGTCCAGGCAACGCGAGACGTCAGAACTTGTCCGGTGTGCATCATCATCGACGAGAGGAAACGAATCATCCTCTTTTTCGGATTTGCAACAAGTACGTTACAAAAACGTACTTTCCGCAAACAGGAATAAAGAAAGAAAATAATGGATGATGGACTCTCTCTTCTTTGTGCCTCTCGTGCGTGTTTGTGTCATGATGTTATATGTGCCAAAAATGTAGTGTCTGTTGCTGCTGTTTTGTGAAGTAGCAAAAAAGTGTGTTTGGGTGGGTGCGTGCGTGCGTGAGTGAGTTCGTTCATTGGACTCTTGCTTCGTCCGTCGTCGGCATTGTCGTCGTCGTCGTTGTCGTCGTCGCGGTCTTTGTAATAAATAGTATTTGTATAGTAATAGTAATAGTAGTCGCGGCTTCGCCCAAAAAACAAATCGACCATGAAATTCTGCCCTCCATCTCTGTGCCTGCTACATTTTTCCTCGATATAAACAAAATCCGTCGATTTTTTATTATTATTACTATGACTGCTACTATTTATTAATACTGCAACTACTTCTACCACCTATCACAAAGAAAAAGTTTGACTCGGCGTAGCGCGTGTTTAACGTCGTGTTACGTCCTCGTAATATCGTAGTGAGTATGCGCGTAGTATACTCTGTGTTTATCTATCATCGGCGCGCCCTCTTTTTCCCTCTCTCTCTCACTCTCTCTCTCTCTCTGTCTCTCTTTCTCTTTCTCTCGTTTACTCATTCTAGCCGTTCTCTCACCTGCCGACATTACCGCCGGCACGCAGGTGTCTCTCGCTTGCCGGCCGCCACCGTTCTCTGTTGTCTCTTGTGTTGTTGCCATTACTGAAAAAGAAATCAGGAAGGAGTAAGAGAGAAAGAACGGGATAGAAGAAACACGAAGATCACCGAAAATTCTCGATCCGCTTTTACAAGATGATGATGATGATGATGATGATGATGATGATGATGATGATGATGATGATGATGATGATGTTCCGTTTCTTTTAACAAAAAACTCTTCGTACATACTTCTTTTGTTCTCTTTAATTTGATCCTTTCAAAGTGTAAAAAAATAAGTAGAGAAACCACCATCAGACGATATACTTTTTAACAATTATTGTTCAATTATTTCGAATGTTCGTATGTATGTAGATAATGTTTCGATTTAGGTATCGTTTACCAAAATTTGGAGCCTAGGGGATGCTTTTGTAGTTGAAGATTGCATACGATGCAAATGCACTTTCTATCTCGTCTAGTTTTTTTTATTAATTAAATTCGTCTATGAATTGGTCCCTAAATTTTGATCAATGTCGTTGATCATTTTTGACTATTTTTTGGAAGGAATTTATTGCATGTTAACTCTTTTCATTGGTCATGGTTATTTTTCGCAAAACGTTGATTTGATTCTTTAAAAAAAAACACGTAAATCATAATAAGTTTCCCGGTAGCACGGTCAAGGTCTTCATTTTATATACCTTTGTTCTCTTTCTGCAAATAGTATTTATAAATTCCGCGAACGTATACTACTAATCGCATTTCTTTAAAGATTTTTTTACTCAAAATAGTTAAAACAAGTTTAAAGGGAAAGAAAAAGCTTATGCAATTGAGATTATCATCTTACACATAATATATATATATATATATATATATATATATATACATATACAATGTTCGTAGTATAATGTAAATATTATTCAAAGATATTGTCCGAGCTTGACACTTGTAAAACGGCACTTGACTTTTTTTTGTAAATCACCACTTGACTTTTTGTAAATCCAAATATCGACACACATACACACGCATATATATATTTATATATTAAATGCGTGTACGTTAGTATGAGAATAAATACTTCTATACGCGATGCGTCACGTTAACCGATTCTAACGTGAGCAGCACGTTAAGATCGACCAATTAAAATCGTCGGATGGTTGACGTTTATAAGTAATCGTGGAGAGGGGCTAGGAGAGGAGAGGAGAGGACAAAAGGCGTGGGAGCAAAGGTTCTTTGCGTCTCTCTTCGAGCATTGTAATATACGAATAAAAGATAATCTTTGTGTTGTTGTGTTGTGTAGTGTTGTGCACAATGCAAACTATTATTCATACAACGATGAGGATGACGATGACGATAATGATGATGATAACGACTGAAACGGCGACACCTTGGCCGGCCGGCGTTAGTGGTGTCGATTAAGAAAATTTTTCTCTTTCCTACTACGTAGAAAAACGTGAAACGTGTAGTATTTGGAGAATAGTGTTAGGGAAAGTGTAAGAAAGATCGTCGATAAAACAACTTCATCAAACAGAGAACAAAACGAAGAAATAATCAGCTTTTTTATCCCATTAGTTAAATTTGTCTAAAATTTGTAAGGACACTGTATAGGGGGAAAAATAGTAATAAAGGTAAAAACGACGACTACGACAACAACAACGACAGGAAAAAAGCTGATTTTCGAGCAACTTCCGTCGCGGAAGTTGGTGAAGTTTTCAGTGAAAGACAAAAGGGAAAGAGAAGGAGGACCCGGGAAAAGGGATATCGAAAGGGAAGGAATAAATAATTGTAGTAGCGGCAAGAAGAAGAAGGAGGTGGTGGAGGAGGGTGAGGAGGAGGAGGAGGAGGAGGATTTTTCGTTTGATAGTTTGAATAATCGAGCCGTGGAGTCGCAAGACAGCAAGAGAAAGGCGCGACGCGAGCCGACCACTCGAGCAGCCGTGCGTCAGGATGTTCCCTGTGCTATCGAAAAGGGCCATCCGGTAGCTCCGTTGCCGGCTCTCGTCGCGATCCTCAGACCCTGGAGGAGAAAGAATCGCCGAGGACAACGTTCGAAGGAACGATTGGGAAGGGAAATGTCGGTCAGGGTTAGCGGAGTTTATTTGGTGCCAACTTCGGCTACTAATGCTAACAACGAGTCCAATAACGAGAGGAGTAACAATAATCTTGTTCCTTCTCACGAAAGTAATTTTCAACAAGCTCAACAGCATCAGCAGCACCAGCAACAGCATCATCATCATCATCATGATCATCAACAGTTGCAGCAACAACGGCATCAACAACAGCAACAGCATAGACAGCAGCAACAACAACAACAGTATCACCCTACCAAGACCGTAACCATCGCCCCTACACCTCAACGGAGCAATAGCCTAGATTATTTAAACTTCGAAGAGAAACGACAAATCATCGCGTCTTCCTTATCCCTAAGCGATTTTCTGGCTCACGGGCCTGCTGCTGCAGCAGCGGCCGCGGCCAAGGAGGTTGCTGCGAATACCGTCATTGGTGAGTACAGAAGAATACTTCCGAAGAACCTCGTCTACGATTCACCGTGCCAACATAACGAAACACCTACATTTTCCTTTTCTTATTTTACTCTTTCGCATTTATTATCGACTTTCTAGGAATGCGTTTCGTTCCACGGTGTAAATTACTGACATTCCGTAGAAAGACAATGGGTAAACGATTATGCAGTTAGGAAAAACTGTTCCAAATCCAACCGAGTAGTCTTACTTACCTTCCCCACTTCTTCTTGTTTGCCCTTTTTTTTCTCTTCCTATAGGTACCTTCCAACCTTCTGCTTTATTCTTTACCATAGAAAAGGAAACTTATTCGAGCCGGATTTATGAAACTCGTGACGAATAACTAAAAGCAGAATATCGCGACCGCGCCTTTCCTGCAACGTTGCCGATTGATTCTGAGTCACGTGTGTTCCGAACGCTGATGATTGATGATCGGTTTGTTTGTCCCGACACGTGATCGGCCTTCTCCCATATCCTCTCGACAACCACGACTATGATTATAGTAACCACGACGGCATTCCGTTCTTCGAGACGACCTCGTTAAGTCCCATCCACCACCTTTCGGCAGTGTTCTTTACTTAGAAATTGGGTACACTCTGACGTCATTTTATTACTTCTGACCTACCCAACGAAACTTTTTCTTTTGTTCTTATTTCTTATTTGTCGATTAGATATCTCTTGACATTTAATATAGATAAATGTTGGAGTTTGTAATATTCCTCTTCGTAATTTGAACATTTCAACCAATTTGTTTGTCAACGAATTAAAACAGATATAATCAATAGACAGATGAAGGTGAAATGGTCGAAGATGATTTTTTTCCTGTTAGCAATTAAGCTTCATTACTGATTCCGGGAAGCGATGACGCGTTTACGAAGCACCTAGTGTATTTCGATATTACAACACTCGCGCGTAAATACGACGAGGACTGGATCGGCCTAGAAAATGTAATTGTATAACATTTAATAGACCGGTGGAGGAAAGGATAAACTGTCTGTAACGGGTGATAGTCGTCGAAGGGGGTAACGGGTGCAGAACACATAGACCTAATGTGGCAACGCTGCACGGAAATCATTCATTGAGTGGAGAACCTACAGCTTGTCGGCGGCGAATGTTCGTTCCATTCGCAGCATGTCTACTAAAATGTGCACGCAAGTTTATACATGTGTGTACACCTACTTGACTGTTCCACAATTCCATAGTTCCACGTGGAACCAAATGCATATTTATATTTTTTTTCAATGTCAGCAACATCTTAAACCCTGAAGTACTAATTTTGCAAAAAATTAAACTTGTTCATATGCATGTAGCATTGTGCGATGCACCTCGTCATTTGGTAATCCTTCGAAAGGCGCGTCATTTCAAATGTCCAATCGATAACTAACTCTGATTTTGAGAATAATATTTCTCTTAGCAAGAATATGCAATTTTTCTTGTCCCATTATTTTTCCTTTTTATTACGACCGTTTTCACTTAGAAAAAGATGGATCTTTCGAATAGCGTTGTTCAACGTGAAAGCTATGACTCTTTGGGAGTGGTTTGAACTCGAGAAAACGCGCGTCTCATGGAAAATTCATTTTCTCATTTCAGGATTCTGTACAGCCAGAAAAAAAGTCTTTATCAAGCGGCAAGGGCCTCTAAGAAAAGGAAAAGCTTTTCTCCTCCATGCCATATACATGAATTACTCTACGATATCTGGGCTTGTATCTGTCAGCGTAGCTTTTTAAACTCACCGATAAAGTCCCTTCAATCTTGTTCATCGTTTTCTCTCATAGTTTCGAAGAAAGGATCTTTCCTTTAGTTTTTTACCTTTGTCATACTCCTTTCTACTTCAGATAATTTCTTTCCTTTGATAAGATCGAAGAAAAAAAAGAGCACCTTTTTTCAAGAAAGGAGCTTCGATAATTTCTAGTTTATTTCTCGTTAACGAACAAACTTGCGCAAACGTTTTCTTTAGAAGTTGTATTATCTGAAATGACTCGTGAAAGTATTTTCAACATTTACCACATGAAATACTTTATTAATCGTAATAACATTTTATTTCTTTTTTTTTTTCTTTTAAAAAAAAATAATATCAGATTCAGATATTAAAAAAAGAAAAAAAGAAAGTATTTAAATGGCCACGTACAGCTGGGACACCCCCTGTTGTAGATTTCGATTTATTTGAAATTTTACCTATATAATTTAGGGAGTCATACCTACGTACTATGTTATTAACCCTTAGGGTGCACACCTCCGTAGCGAATCATTAAATGCACACAGGGTCAATTCGACTCCAGACGATATTCGGCTTTGAATATTTCGGCAAGCGTGCACTTTTGAGAAAAAACAAAAGATACAAATACTTTTTGTAGTAAATTGATTAAGCTTTAGGCCTGTGTGCATGTCAGATTTGAAAACGTGCATGAAATTGACATTGGGTATTCGAGTAAAAAGACACATTTTGTTTTAATTTTTTTCTTATGGAAATTGGACAAAGCATTGGCATTTTTTAAGAAATTCACAATACTAACTAGTTATAAATAAAAATTGTACACTAAATTAAGTATAAATTACGTGATATCTCGTTGTTTTTTGTTTTATACTCGAGATTGTTCAATCTTTTTGGCACTATAAAGAAACGAAGAAATGCATTCGAGTTCATTGAGATATCGACGGATTTTACGTTGTCGAGGAAGAATGAACTTTCTGACTCACGCACACATACTATTTCTCTTTCTCTTTCTCTCTGACAAACAGTTTTGTGAGTGATCGCAGCGTGTTGGTATTTGCGGAGGTGTCTGGCAAGTGGCAAAAGGAGGAGGATGAACAGCTTCGAGCTATTTTTGACGATGTTCGATACCGATCGCCATTTCTCATGACAGCAATCGTGCAAAAGAAAGAAAGAAAGAAAAGGAAAGAGAAAGAGAAAGAGATTTTCCAATGCCAGTGCACAATTATCTGTATGAACTTTATCAAACTCGACGTCATACCAAACGCATACGAAATGATAAAGCACGTTTAATTATGCTTTTTCAACAATTACAAGTATTCCTAATGTACAAATTTCACGGGAAAAAAAACAAGCAGAAGAAATCCCCCACCTCCCTACTTTTTAGTGTATACGGAAACGCATGGGGAAACGTCATGGGTTAACGTCACGAGGAAACGTCACATGTGTATAAAACAATTATGGGCGTCCGTACTTTTTCCTTGATATATTTTTTCTTTTTTTTTTTGTTTTCATTTCATTTAAAGAGTTTCGAAATTTTTGAATTAGAGAAAAATTCGTAAATTCGTCCAAAAAAAATATACATATATTTCTCCCGCGCATTTTATAGAAGTTTTATCCATTACTTTCGATTTCTTCCAAATACTTTTCACGGTGTTTCACGTTGAAATGTTGGGAAAAAGATTACTTGGCGGGAGAGAAAGGGAGGGGACTTTTCATCAAAATGCAATAGTAATTTCAGAAAGATCGCAACTCTCTTTTCCCTTATCTATCCCCCCATTTCTTTCTTTTTGTGTTTGTGATGTCAGAGATAAAAGGAAATATATTTTTCACATATCGAAGAATTCTCGTATCCGTGTGTGTGTTAGTTACTCGAAAAATTCCAGAAGAAATCTTTCGACGTTATTTATGGAACTTAACGTCCGTGAAAAGTTTCTTGGATTTATTTATTCCCTTCTCTCTCCTCCTTCTACGTGTTCATTCATTTGATATATACCACTGGCCTATCTCTTCTTATTCGGTCCTATTGAGAAAGATTCTCGAAAGTAAAATGTTTTTATCAATTCTAATCGAATGTTTTACGAGGCAAAAGAAACTTTTGATTATCATTTTTACATTTTCATACACATTGAACCGTCGACGAATCCAATTCATTGCAATGGGTTCGAACAATAATCTTTGTCACGATAATTTGAAAAAAAAAACAGGAAAATTGTAAAAATTCTTTTGGAATGCATGGGTAAACCTTGACCGCGCCATATTGCAATAGGTTCGTTAGTCTGCGAGTGTTTACCCTGTGTCAGCCGGGCACCAAAATAGAACCAGGACAGTCTAGATCGCTGAGAAAGGTCTTGTTGCCGTGTGCAACAAGATGATGCATATATTTGTATGGCCTTCCCGAATTAAACCTTTATCTTGATCCTAATTATCTTCTTCTTCTTATTCGATTCCCCTTTTATCGATAAGAACAACTATATTCAACAGAAAGTTAAGTCAACAAATTAATCGAATATTTTATCGAACCAAATCAAATAAGTTTCCTTACCTGTTTAACTTGTTTCCCGAAGTTACGCGATAGGTGGACAGATCAATGAAAATCTGCTAAAAAAAAAAAAAAAATGTCGAGACATAACTTTGCATCTCGCAATAACTATCGATTCGCGTGCATAATCTCATCATATATACATACACCCATACAATCAGCTAACGCTATAACCTTTCATATTCTCATTGAAATGTAACTCGACTGATCTCACGCACTCACACGTGCGCTCATGTGCACTCTCATTCCTATATGTATGAACACACACACACTCATGTAGATTCACATTCCTATATGTATGATTTATATTAAGTATTTAAGTATAAAATGTTCCATATTATTCCACTTTCTCGTATTTCGAAAAGGAACGTTCACGTTTAATGACTGAATATATTAATCCGATCAGTCGAAACGTTTACGGTTTAAGGATAAAATAAAGAACCGTGTAACTACGATAGTATCGCGTAAGTCGAAGGATTACTGTACTCGACTACCATATAAAAACGTATTCCTGCATATCGGAGATATTCCTCGAATTCATGAGAACTATTTATGTCGAATAAACGTTTTGCCAAGTAGACAAATTCAAAACGTTTAATTCTCTGCAATAGACATCGATTGAGTGTTCAATATAAACAGGAGATTTTCCTGAGGTTTATAATTTGAATATTACATTTTTGTTAGAAATATCTTATAACATTTAAACTAGTTGTTAGTTTAATCCACGATTACGTTTGTAACAAAATATCAATTGTATATTCTTGCGTTGGTAGAAATCGGGGGGCCCCATTTGGGTCGTTAGATGCACTTGAAAATATCGTTAGAATAATAGAATTTGATCATTGACCTAGTTCCAGTCGATGTGTCATCGCCAAAATCGATTTTATTCAATTTCGATGAGTATAGTTGGTACTCACATAAACTCAATTCTTATCGTTGATTGTTAAGAACGGGGGAGGAAGGTTGATTGGATTTTATGGATGAACATCCGGGACCGACATCCGGACTGGGTTCGGCCGATGGGTATCACGACGACACACACACAAAACGGTGCAACGAATTCTCTCATCTTGACGGATTTCTCATCGCGAAAGCACGTACGAAGAAGGAAGCGTGTGTCGAGTAGTAGATTTTGGCTATCTTCCACGTGGAAAATAGTTTTGGGGGCGCCTTAGTTCCTCGGACCAACTTGCCAAAACATTTTCCACCAGGTTCCTATACTCGAGGCTGTTCGATTTCGAAAGCCGATTTTAAATGCCGACGAGATATTACTGCATCGGTTGGCCGGGGGTGGGGTCCTTTTTTATTTTATTTTTTTCACGTTGATATGTTTGACTCTCTCTCTCTTTCTCTCTTACATATTTTTTTTAGAATTATTCGATGGTTGCTAAAAGAATTGATGAAATATTGTTAAATAAAGTACAGTTCACCGATCATTTCTATAACATTTAAATGATTCATCTAATTAATCGAAATTATTATTATTATCCGCGTTTGGAATAATGTAAAATAATATTTTAGATGAAAATTTAACTGTTAGAAATTCTGTCAGCGTTATTATATTGCTTCACGGGAAACATGATTTTTTTTTTCTTCCCATATATTAAATAAGATCCGCTGTATGTGTTATGTAGTTTCACGGGATTCTTACGGAATATCTTTCTGGCACGTAAAAGAAGTGTTCGCGTAATAAGCGACTAGAAAAGAAAAAGATCAAAGAAGACAATGACACGTGGGAGTTGTTGAATACCGGTAGGAAATAGTGTGCGAATTTGTGACAGTGAAAGCAAGGATAGAGAAGGTGAGGGAACGATATTCTCTCTCTTTGTTTTTGCGAAATCTTACGCATGTATAATAAGATATTTTTTTATATCTCTTTTCTTTTTTTTTTTTTTAATTTTGTTTCTTTATTTCTCAATAGACGAAATGAAAGTTATAAGAAAGGTCGGTTGATCGGGCGCTGTTTATCACGAAAACATTCAAATTACCGGTAGAATATAAGAAGCTTTTGATATCCTCTCCTCTTCGTTTCATCGAATTTTCTTCTTCAACTATATAGTTTAATATCTCAGTTTATCGATTTCCTTAGATTAACCTTTTGAATATCAAAGAAATTTTCCATTACGGTCATAACCAAATGTGGGCGTTCTAACAAGTACCAAAAATAGGATGACAAGAAAAGTAAACCCAATAATATTCCCTTCTCATCAGCTTTTCCTTTTTGTTTTTTTGTTTCATGAAAGGATTAATTTTCATACCTCTGCCTATTTTTTATTCAAATGCTTATCTTATCTTTTACTTTCGTTCACAAAGTTCCTCCCCCAAGTTAACGTGACAAATACACTCCGTATTATTTTTCATCGGTTATTATGTAAGTTGTCAAAGGGTATTAGGTAAGTTGTTCAACAAATATTTTATTCCAAAATTGAACAAATTCGCGATGACGCATCTACAGAATAACCAAACAAAAATATTCTAGTACAATAATACTAACGAAGAAGAATTCATCAAATTTCAATTTACTGTTACCGATAATTAACATCTTTTGACCTACCATTTCAAAAATATTCTTACTCGTATGTATCACTAGGTGTATGCAGTAATGGTATGCGTGTAACTCGTGTGCCATGTGCCACGCATAGTACGCTCGTCTCTCCCACCCCCCTTCTGACCCCCATCCCTTTCCCTTTTCCCTTCTCCTACCTATGTATGGCATTTCTCTCTCTCTCTCTCTCTCTCTCTCTCTCTCTCTCTCTCTCTCTCTCTCCCCCCCACCATCCACCCGTTCGTTCATTCTCTCTATCTCTTTCTATTAGAATGTTCGTTATTTACTACGTCGTTCCCTATCGCAACTCGACGAGAAGGAAGGTGAGTAACGGTGTTTGGCGTATAGCTGCATTCACAACACCACGCCGTTATACTAGTTTTACCAGCTGATACTTGTCCTATTGGAAAGACAAAGATAGATGATGCCTAGATATATATATGTTACTGTCAAAGCCGGAAATCAGGCATTACTAGTAAATTCTAGGCATTACTATGAATGTGAAGAGCCTTCAGACGAAATCGGAAATAAGACTTTTTGGAGAGTTTTTCCTAGGCATAGAACATAATACTTTACTATTTAAATTACTATTTAAACAACGTTGAAAAGAATAAATTCTCGGGCACAGACACAAACAGCCATACGATCACACAATATCAGAGATTGCAATGCTGTAAATTGTGCATCTTTGCAATTTCTTTGAAAAGTTTCGGTAACATATTTTTTATACTTTTTGCAAATAGATTTTATTGATTTTTATATTAAATTAAAGTACACTCTTTTGTCTACGCGTAGAGTATCTTTTCGCGTTATAAAACAATCTGCAAAGGTTCAGAAAATGTCGGAGAATGCAATGCTACCACGCTATATAGAAAAAGAAAAATTGCAATCGAAAAATATCGATAATATATATACCTGTGTCTATTATTTAATTTAGTTTTCGATTAAAATAACGTGATTTTGACTTAACAATAAAATCCCATATGTTTATACGATCAGAGTAATGGAAAACATAAGATATAGATAGAAGTTACGTGGGGAGAAGACACCTGTGTCCCCGGTGTACCAACGTCAGGGTATCTATCTAAGGTTTCAAGTTGACAACCAGCGGCTAGGTAATTGGAGAACGGAAAACAAAGTGGCGTAACCATAGCAACACCCCATCATCCCTTATTCGCGATCTCTCCGTTGAGAGAACCTGTGCTGCTACGGTTACTGGAGGATACCTACGCTACTTGCTAACCGTTGCATCCGTATACTCTATCTATGCACTTTTTAACCAACTCTCTGATGAAGAACCATTCCTTTCCGATTCTAGAACTTCCGTCACTTCCGAACTTTCGTCATCATCATTGACGAACGATCATATTGACATACATGTTACGGGGTTCATGGATTTTATCCTTATCCTTAATCATTTTTACAGATGATCGGACACTTATATATTAATCTTCTTCTTCTTTCTATTAGGACTTTGTCCTGTTATGATTTTTATTAATAATAATATAATTAATATAATATAATTAATATTGATAATAAAAAAATATGAATAATTTTAAGCATGGAATGTGTGTGTGTGTGTGTTCATTTTCTAATTGAAAGTATAATGAAATAATCGAACGTTTCATATTATATTTAAAGCTTCTGATACGAAACATACATGTAAAAATGTTAGTTACATACTGCAAGAGTATAAAATAACTATGTGTGACGTCAGTTGAGTGACAGTTAAACAAGAATATGAAAGGTTCTAGCATTAATTGGTTATATGTGTGGGTGTGTGCATGATGAAATATGTACGCGGATCAATAATTATTGCGAGATGCGAACTTGTACCCAGACTTCCTTAAAAGGTTATTCTAAGTCAGAATGCACTTTTTTTCTTTAGGGAATTGCATGCATTCATTTATTTACGATCTATTTATCGATATTTGCAAAATCTATCATTAAATAAAACATATTATTATTATTATTATTATTATTTTTATACATTTGTAATAATTATCACGCAGAGTAGATATCATTTCTTTCATTTATTATTCGACAAAGAACTTTTTATTCCGAAAAAGCTTCTCTTTTCATTGAACATTTTAGTATCCCACGTCTGCAAGCGTTATCGCATTGAAATACGAAATGAATGAAATGCTTGAAGATGTTTAAAGGCTTTTGCCGTCGTGTCGTTGCTTGTCCACCATTCGACAACAACAACAACAAAAAACAAAAAAGAAATAGTGTTTTAGCGAATAAAAACTTGACGGTACCTTCGTGATAATGAAAAAAAAAATCTTGAATAATCCTATATACAAGGAAAAGAAGGATATTCTGTATTTTCTTTTTCAATAGGATTTTTCCATCATTAACGATGGTGAAACTCTCTCTCTCTCTCTCTCTCTCTCTCTCTCTCTCTCTCTCTCCCTTCCTCTTTCGAGGAGAGTTGATGATCGGTTAGTTTATCATTCTGTTGACTAAAAGAAGGAGAAAAAAAATGGATTCTCGAAGAATCTTATGGAGGTAAAGAGACGAATAGGAGGCTTCTTCAAAGTCTGCTCGAGTTTTACTACCTGTCCCTTTGTTTTTCTTTTCTTCCCTGTCTTTCACGAGGAATTTAAACGGTCTTGGAACACCGAGATGCAGTGCACCACCTCTCTCTCTCTCTCTCTCTCTCTCTCTATCTCGTTTGTGAACAATAGGGAAGAGAATTTCTCCTCCTCGCCCCCCTTAACGTTGGCACGTTAATATTGCCGTTGCAGCGAATGCAGTTTACTCGCACGCTGGTGCAACGGCCCTCGACGAACCTTTGAGCCGCGTGAATAGGCTTCCCGACTACCGGAAGTGCTGCTTTGTGGCTTTGATTATTCCTCTTTCGTATTGGGAACATCAATATATGTTCCCCCTTGCCCCCCTCCCTCTTTCTGTCTTTCTTCTCGTGCACATGCGCACGTTTGTTTCGTTTCTTTTGATCGACACGACGAAGGGTTAGGTTTCAAGGGTGAGATTATGGTGGTAGGACTTGGAAAACATTTCCAAGACGAACATATTCTCATTGAACATTTCTTTTTTTCTGCTTTGCAGTATATATCAGTTTGAGAGACGTCGTAAACTTCTGTTCTATTTTACAATTTTTAAAAATTTGTATTTTAATAATTTTACGAGAACAAATTGAATATCTTAAAGTATAATAATTGAATGATATTTAATTGAGGATGCAAGTGCAAACGAGTAGCAAGAAGAAATTGTATAATTTATCTATGCAATAGTTAGGATATCATCGTGTATTGATTTTAATAGTGATATCGGGCAACAAAGTTAGTACGATTAAATTACGAAGGGGTCTTGAAACTGTAAAAAATGGTTATCCGTTTGTTCGTATAGCGGTAAAATCGAAGAAATAATTTCGATACGTTTAATTTGTGAAAAATACAGTGATTGTACTGAAACGTACGTTGTCGATTTGTTTGAAGAAAAATAAAACATATATATATATATTTATCAAATTTTATTAACGAGTACTTTGTAATCGATTTTGTACTTTTAATTGAAAAAGGATATTACGTATGTATACGTTTTCTTTTTTTTGTTTAGTAATTTTATTTCGAGCAGTCGTTTATTATTTATGTTCTTGTGTGTACGTAACACGATTCGAGAGCAGCGCTCATGTTTCGCGTCATGTGATCTCCTCGGGCCTTTTATGTTTGAACTTTCATACGTTAGCTTTAATAACAACGTATCAAAAACTTGTTAACAAAGTCGAAAGTGAAATAACCGATTCAAACGAATGCGTCTTCTTAAATATTATTTTCTCTGTCATACTTTTTTCCTTGCTCTGCTGTCCATTTTTTTGGTTTTTCTTTTGTTTTTAAATCTATTATTCAGAAACATCTTTGATCAGTCGACGAATAATTGATACGTGGTAGGGGAAGATAATTTTTTATTTTGTTCACCATCAATCACATTATATCAATAATTTTCGAGCAAACATTTGGCAAACGGTAAAAGGGAGAACACAAATCCCCCTTGTATGTTCTTCGAATCAATTATTTTTTCAAATTATCCGAAAAGTTATACTTAAGACCTTGCTCAGATACTTTCGCGTATCATTCGAACGAGTTAATTATTGTAAAAAGAGAATTCTATATATATATATATATACATAAATATTCAAGATTATAGGAAATGTTTATTCTGATTGAATGGCAAAACTTTATTGACTTATTTGGCTTTCGGTGAAAGCTTCGTTATCTTTGTTTTCCTGTTCTACGATAAGGTGGTAAGAAGGGGTTGAAAAGATACTTGATACAAACCACCCTAGTCGGTAAACGTCGATAATGTAGGAAATGATACGCTACACTTTAACAAACTTTGAATAAAAAAATAGTCAAGGATTAAACACGTATCTAGTGTCGATAAAAAGGATAACTTGTATTATTAATAATAATAAAGTTGAACAATTTATTTTTCTAATTTTCGATAAACATTTGTGACTGTTATATTTTGTTTAATTGCAGCTAAGAAACAAAATGGCACTGCCCTTCGAACGAACAGCCTGGGATCGGGTGCGAGAACGCCTCCCCTCGAAAGGAAAAGCAAATTCTCGGCCCTCGGTAGACTTTTTAAACCTTGGAAATGGAAGCGGAAAAAGAAATCGGACAAATTCGAGGCCGCTTCTTTGTGTAAGTGAAAATCAAAATTGGAGAAATATTTCTGAAGAACGTAAAAAATAGAAAAAGTTATATCTTTCTTGTTTTTCTTTTCTTTTTGTTTTTTGTTTTTTTAGCCCTCGAAAGAAAAATCTCCGTACGGGCTAGTAGAGACGAATTGGTGCAAAAAGGAATCTTATTACCAGTTATAAGATCTACGTCGTTTCCGGAAAATGGTGAGTTTATCCGAAATACGTATTAAAAGTGTAGCAATTCATTTGAGTCAATAAATAACAAAAATAATAATTTAAGAAGTCATTTTTTGTCTTTCAAAGCTTCCCCCAGCTCGTTTCTCGTCTCGCTAAACAAAAACTAACGATCGAGTTAGCCCAGTGGGGGGTTGCAAATTTTCCCTCAGTAAACTAAAACTTGTCGAGTTTGGGATGATTGATAGTTATTCTCGTGTTACTTAGCACAACAACGACCATTAACTGGTACATTAATTTCGATCCGTCTATGGAACACTTTCGGCCATTAAGACTTACCTCGTTTGAAATTTTCTTCGATACTAAAGAGTATTTTTACGTTAAGTAATTCTTATGATATTTTTCGAGAATTAAACACACACACACACATCGTCGTTATAAAAGAAATATATAATTAGATCTTCCTTAACTTTTTATACAAATGCATTCAAAGTTCAGCGTTTAATAAGCATACGTTTGAAATTTCATACGGCTATTTTTCAATTATATATTTAACCGAAGCATATTTATTCAGTCATAGAATAATGAACGTAGTGTTATTAAGAACACTCAACTTCATCGTCGTTGTGTATTGGAATAATCCATTAATTCTAATTATAAATCTTTTCTATGTCATTTTAGAAACGATAGGTGACTTGACGGATACGCAAAAACCGCCTAGTCCTCAATTAACGCCTCAACAACAACAGCAATCGCAACAACAATCGCAACAGCAACAACAACAGCAACAGCAGCAATCGCAACAGCAATCGCAACAACAGCAGCAGCATCAGTCGCAACAAACGCAATCGCAACAACAACAGCAACAACAGCAGTTGCAGCAACAACAACAACAACAACTGCAGCAACAGCAGCAGCAGCAAGTACAATCCGTAAACATAAGTAACGGAGCTGGAAACACTTCTGTGCCAACGTCAACGTCAACCGTTAGCTTACAACAATCACAACAAGTAGCATCGAGTACACCGACCCCAACGACTGCCAATTCACATTCTAGTGGGTCGTCCAATAATTCGTCTCCTCATCCTCCACCTCATTATCCAGGAATACCTTCATCACAGGGAGGACAGACGAACGGAAATACTCAAGGTAGGTCGGAATTCCTAACGACATTGACTCCCCTCCTTCAAAAGCACTAAAATAAACACCCTTTATCGATTATTATTTGGATGTATGACTATAATGTGGGACGAGCGCAAATACTTAAATAGGTATTCGTTAAGAGATTGGCCCCGGATAGCTCAATGAATAAAGAGTCAATCCAACAATCCTATTTTTTCACGAATCCTATAATAATAATATCAAAAGATTATTATCGTAGCATCTCCTCTCTATAGATGAATGGACAAGCTCATTGGAAGCTATATAGAAACGAGAGATATCGTGAGAACATTAGATGACCTAATTATCCGCTATTATATACTAGAAACATTATTGATAGGGTCTAGTGGCTCTCTAACCGCAACTACGAACGTGCCTGATCGATGTTTGAGTCAATTTCTTCATGGAATTCGTATAATCGATTTTTATAATACGCTCTTGTCATCCGTTAAAACTACTTTTGCATACTTTCAAGACAAATGTCGAATTGTTTTTAGACATACTTTCAAATAGATATACATTTATCTTATCTTATAACTGAAGAAACTATTTTTAGAAAGGTAAAGTAAATAGTTACTTTATTATTATTGCAATTATTGCAATTTTCTTGATTACTCTTACTTTTCGTTTTGTGAAAGGCCTCTTATTAGGTTTCTTCGTTACTCTAAACCGAAGCCGTAAAACAATAATATTATCCGATACAGCTAGATCTGCTATTTTCAAAATCTTCTTGAATTTTTTTTTTAACATGTCATTTGGCGTTCAATCGCGAATGAATTCACACTCATGAGATGAAGACGACAGACGAAAAAGGAAGTTAAAGGGGGAAAGAAGAAGAAGAAGGCAGATAGTTATAGAAAAAAGGAGTTGGAGAACGCAATCCGTTGTGCAGAGAGGATGCAAACAGAGGGTAAAAGATTGTTGCCGACACAGTACAGCCAGTACAACGTACTGCTGTACAACACGTACACGCAGATATACCATAAATATACAGGGTGTTACAAAGACAAAAAATTATTTCAATATTTATATGTGGTATATATGATACCACATGACTGAGTAAACAAATCTTTAATCCAATTTCAACCCTTTGGATTTCTTTTTATAATGTATATAATAAAAAGTGAAATATATTATTCGCCAATAAATTAAAACTTACAATTAAAAATATTACAAAGAATTATACAATAACTGTGTTTAATCGTTTGGAAATTTTTCACAGAGTTCAATGAATCTATAGAAAGAAAATTCCAAACGTGTATGGAAATGGAAGGAAAATATGTAAAACATCTTGTGTAACTTGAATAGATAATAAATAATTCAATTGTAATATTAACATACGAAAATATTCTTGTCTCAAAAAGGGGTGATCTTTTTATCTATGTTTACCAAGACTTTTTTACTGTCTGGTCTTATATATATATGGCTTATGGATTATATAAATATTGAATATTTTTGTGCAACACCCTGTATATATATACATTGCGTCTGCTTTGCCTCCCCCTCTCGTGGTTGCAATCCATGAGCTGCAAAGAAACGATCGATACCTTCCTGCATGCACACACTCGCTTACCTACGCGTTCTTCTACCTCTGTACAAGTACATATATATATATGTGTTCAAACGAAACATATATATGTGTACAAATAAAAAGAGATAGTCCAACGATCTTTTACACGAGAGTTTGCCTCGTCTTAATTTCAAAAGATACGCAATGAAAGTACACGTCTAATTAGTTTCACGCCATTTGACCTTTTTCAACCTTTTTCTTTTTACTCGTGTACCGTCGTCCCAGTTAGTAATTTCTCTATTTCTTTCTCAAGATATACAGTGACTCACTTGCAGTATTTGAACATTTGAAATGAAATACTTTATTAATTATAATAAGTATATTATACAACACTAATGATATTAACATTGGATGGAGGTATGACTCTGTAGATTATACAGGTATTGTTTCAAGCAAATCAAAATATATATACAATAGTTATGTATTCCATAATATATTTATTATAATTAAGAAAGTGTTTCATGGCAAATGTTGAAATACTGCAAGTGAGTCACTGTATCTCTTTCATATCCAAATATTATCCAATTGAAATATTCTAGCGACAAAAGTATCGGTTCGGCCGTTCGAAGAAATTTGTTTCCGATTTGTAGCCAATCGGAAACAAGCTATATCTTAAATAAATATCCGAACACATCCAAAAATCAACCGTTCTATCTTATCTCACACACACGTATACAGCGTATATAATCAATCAAAACAATTAGAATAAGAAAGGTCACTTCAATGTGGCATAATTAATAGAAAAGAAATAAAGTAAAGCAACAGCATATCAATATCTAGACGTAAATTTGATCATTTCGTGCACAGTGTAATATCCTGGGAAGACTATTTACCCTAAAATATGGCGTTGTTAGATAAAATAAGCGACATAGAAGAAGTGTGTTCGGATTTTGACGAGGAAGACAAATTTTCCGAAATCAAAGAGAATGTGGAAATGAGTGACGAAGTATTAAGCGAAGAGAAAAATATTAGAAATAAATATCGAGGTTCATTACGGCGAAAAAAAAACAAATTAACATGTGAAAGTTCCGAAAATGAAACTGATGTAGAAAAAGAGAAACATATTGATAAAACTATTTGGTCAAGAATGAAGAATACTTCGAAAACTAAAATTATACCAATTCATAATATTTTTACGGATATGTCAGGTCCGACGGAATATGCTAAACGGTATGTAAAGAAAGGACAAGTTAAAACAGCATTTTCACTTATCATTGATCACGATATAATGAATCATATAATCAAATGTACAGAAGAAGAAGCATTTGAAATATTAAAGACCAAATGGAAATTAGATACAATCAAATTAGATGCATTTATCGCATTGTTATATGCCCGTGGTGCATATCAAGTGAAAAATTTAGACGTCTCATATTTGTGGGATAAAATATTAGGACCTAAATTTTTCTCTAAAACGATGAACAAAAATGACTTTATCGAGATTAATAAATATATACGATTTGACACGAGGACCGAAAGAATCTATAAGAACAATCATTTTTCTATGATATCTGAAATATGGAAATTGTTTATTAAGAATTCACAAAATTGTTATAAACCTGGTGCATACGTTGCAATCGATAAACAATTGTTTAAATCGCAAGCTAGACGTACGTTTTCCCATATGCCGAAAAAATTCGACAAATATAACTTAAAATTTTGGTTAGCTTGTGACGTCAATAGCAAATATATAATAAATGGATTTCCGTATTCGTCAAAGTATGATAAAAGAAAATATTCAATTTTATTTAGAGATTACATTGTTTTTCAACTGATGGAACCATTCACGGGATACGGAAGGAACGTAACGATAAATAATTGTTTGTTAAACGTGTCACTGGCCAAAACACTTCTCGCGGAAAATACTACAAGTGTCGGAACGATTCGTGGAAATAAAGAAAAAAACAAAATGACTCTGTTCTCGAGCAAATTGTATAACTCAAATCATAGTTCTCTTACGATTTATAAAAACAAACCGAATGAAACATTGATCGTGCTAAGTTCCATGCATAGTTTGATAGAAATCGATATAAGTAACAAAAAAAGGGTACCGGAAACTGTTAGATTTTATAATAATACAAAATTTGCCGTTGACGTGGCAGCCATGATGGCAAGGAAATACAGCGTTAAATCGAAATCATGTAAATGGCAACTACAGATATTTTTCAACATTTTGGATCTAGCTGGAATAAATGCCTGGGTTTTGTATAAAGAGATAACCGGTGATAATATGTCAAGACAAACATTTTTATTTCAATTAGCTAAAGAACTAGCCGCTGCTTATAAAGAATCGACCACATAAATATAAATTGACAGTTATACGATGAATTAATTGGAACAAATTCGAGTCAATTCGGTAGGGGTAGTTTTTGAACGCAACCTGTACTCACGGTTAAAGAGTGCAGAGGACCGTGAAAGCGTCGACAGGGGGGTGCCAAAGCGGTCGATATCAACGGAGGGGTGCCAGAGGGGTACCAGAGGGGTGCCAGAGGACTGTCGTGAAACCTTACCCTAACCAAAACGAAATGTAAACCAGTGCTCCTCAACCTTCGGGTCGTGAGAGGTATCCTTGCAATTTTTCCACTTAAGCAATATCAGCTCATGTTGAATACCCAACGTGAATCGGTGGAAATTCTAATTGCGTTACAAATTAAATCATTAGAAATTACTTTCGCAAAATCTTATTTTATAATAATTCGACGAAGAAGAATGTAAACCCATAAACGGGTGACTGAATCAGACCCCCTGGAAACATAGCCATAATCCAGATACGAAACGTTCAACAGGGTGTTAGGGTTGAATCTGAACGATATGGGGTACGAGTGTTTTGCGAATGCAAGAGATCTTGTGCAGAAACGTTTTCCAGTTCCTAATATTACCTAATAATAATAATAATAATAATAATAATAATAATAATAATAATAATAATAATGATGATGATGATGATGATGATAATGATAGGAAAGTAGAATAAATTTTGTTCCTCATTAAATCACAAAAATAAAAGTGAATTTCTTTGTAGACAATTCTTTTGATACAAATGTCAAACGAAATGGGAATGATAGGTACCTTTTCGGTCACAGAAAGTACACATATGTAGGTATATGCTTTTCGCGGCCGGCAAATGAAGTTAGCGACGAAACTCCTCTTTCAAGTTCCATTAACTTTTAACGTATAGGGTGTTTTAAGGGTAGGATGAAAGAGAGTGGAGAGAATATCGAATTGCCATACGAACGAGGAAAGATTTACTTGATGGTTAAATAAATTAAATCCTTTTTCATAAATGTCTGTCGTTGAAGTAACCAAGCTTCTGTTCCCCATTTTCCCCCCATTCTCGCTTCTTAACATTAATTCTCCTGTATAAAATAATCGAAATAATTAAGAATTACACTAGTTTACAAAATGTAACTTTGTATCCGTTGACGCGAATTAATTTATGATTGATAATGTTCACTTATGATCTGTTTTTGTCAAACCTTACCTCAAAAACTTGTGCGCAGCTCGAGTTATTTTGTTTTTGATTTTGATCATTTATGCGTATATATTAATCGATAACGTGCGTATTTTAATGTATTAAGATGAATATATCTGAAGAAAAAATAAAGAGCTGATAAAAGAAATTCTACTTATATATTTGAAATCTGTATTAACATATGTAATCAGAAACAGGTAAAATTTTGGCCAGCAACAGATGTACTGTTGTAAACTAGTGTTATCCGTTTGCACGATTATTAAGAGAAAATAAAAAAAAATTCGGATGAAAAGAGTAGAGATGGAATTGATGGTTTAAGCGATAAGAAAAGGATTTCGCGTTGAAGGTAGTAGTCTCTTAGCATTTTTTCCAAGGGAGACCTCGCGGTGGTTCGAGGTCGATGAACCTTTCCACCCGGTAGGCCACTTCGCCGTACTCAACTGTTCGACCCCCATCCCATTCCCTTCTGCCAATTGTCGCACACGACGACATGCTCTTTCCCTTAATCCTTTCCGCGAGCCCTTCCAAAAGAGTTATACACCTTTGCTCGGTTTCACACGATAATACTTGTATCTTGATACTCATATGATAGATACAGATTATATGTAAAGTGGCTCACAAAAGCCTAAACAATTAAAATTATACGTAGATTCGAGTTCTGAAAATATTGTTGCAGTTATTATAAGATCACGACTATTGAGATTATTTATACAAAATTTCAAGTAAAACGGAGATAATATTTGGACCGTTTATTTTGAAAAAGGTGTAAGTCCATTTTCTGTTGTTTCGAAAAAATTCAAGATTTGCATATTGGTTAATTCAAAAATATTCATTAATTACATCAAGTTTGACATTGTTTCTATTAATAGTATCGATAAGTAATTTGATTATATACTGATTTGCATATTTGGAATCAGCTGTAAGATTGCAAGCAGAAAAATCCGTGTTGTGCTGTGTTATCGAATGCACCTAATGTTGCCGCATTCGGAAAGAAAAATTGCAGTAAGAGAATTCACGTAAGCGCGGTAATCGGGAATAGAATTTAACCTGACGCGAATTCACGTCAGCGGAAACCAAGAATAGAACTTTTAAAAAGACGTGAATTCACGTAAGCGCTTCTGCGAACGTATTTAACAGAAGGTTTTTTACAAACTTCGATAGATAATCTAGTTCCGTAACTCTTCTATAAATTCCAGATGAATCGATCATAAATTATGGTCGTGATCAATCCGAAAATTATTATCAAAAGAATGTAGTTTTCACATATAAACGTTTAAAGTTTCCCACACAGATACCTGAAATGGGGCATGAAACTTCTTTCACTGTATTTCAATATCCAAATATTTTGAAAATTCTATAACAACATTACCTCATAATAGAAAATGTTAAACCCTAGATTACTGGAAAACCTTACGTCCTTGATTTTTCCTGCACGAAAGGAGAAAACAAGAAAGAGAAAGAGAAAGAGAAAGAAGAAGAAGAAGAAGAAGGAAAAAAAGAAAAAGAAGTGAGATCGATCGGCAAGGAGAAATGTGCTTGTCGTTGAGTCAGGTCGAGAAGACGCTTTGGAGCATCGCCATTGGTTCCGTGAACCGAGTTCTACGCTACCTGCTAGCGAACCAGCATGCGATTTATAAATGTAATGAAAAGCTACTACTACTACTACTACTACTACTACTACTGCATACACCACCAACTAGAGGGATGAATCGTTTTACCTTTTTCTTTGCTTCTTCTTCCATCTTTAATTTCAAACACGAGAGCAGCTCAACAACCACCCTCAACCATCATTCTTCTCTCTCTTTCTCTCTTTTTCTACGTATTTGTATCTCGTTATGTTTATTTTTATTATTTATCTAGGTTGGAACGATCGTAATTAAAGAGAAACTCGAGGTTGATTTTCTCAGGAATTTTTCTGCATCTACTCGTAAAGCAAACGTAATTTCATTCGCGACACTATCTTTTTATATTTCTATACCATTTTTATAACCAACCAATCCGATGTTTAACATTAACTGCAAAAGAGTAGGAGACCAACCTTTTCTTTTCTTTTTATTTTATTTTTTGTTTTTTGTTAATCATGTCTGGATCAGGCAGAGCATTCCCCTTTCGACGTGCTTGCTTCGTATGTTTGCTCTATCTTTGTGTATGTGTTTAAACGTGTAGTGTAGGTATCGACGATAAGTTTAGTGGTTTGCATTCTCCACGGCATAACAGCGCAAATCGGAAATCGATATCCTCGCATAGCCAGCATATAACGTTACATCTATATACCTACATAGTTTCTTCATGTAAGGTGCTGTATTTGCTTCGATGTTACGGTGTGTGTTCTCTTCCTCTTTGCGATCATCGAACAATTTTACCGAAGCAGCTTTCCTTTTTTCTTTTTCTTTAAACTTCGCTACAGAAATTATTTTGTCTCGTCGTATTTCTCCTATAGGAGGATTACGTTCCCATATCTTTTAATACATGTTTGATTTCATTTTTTTTAAATTAAACATCTTGGGGGTTGGTTTGGTAACGACAACATTTTATCAAACGAGATAGAAACAGAAGAAACGTAAAAAGTTATGGTGGATCAACAGTTGAACGAAATTATAGAAGGTCCTAAATGAATTTTGTGTGTGTTGCATGTATGCATGCATGTGATACGTTGAGTTTATGGGGAATGAGAAGTTGCAATAAAAAGAATAGAAATCAGTTGCAGGGTCCAGAAATCATTTTGTTGGGTTGTGTATTAGTGTAAGAATGTCAAAAGTATACACTCGTGCATGTTGAGATAAGTCGATCATCGTCAACACAGTTGAAGGGTTATTGAACAAACCTTACGTGTTAGCACGTTTCAAAAGCCATTAAATTACGTAATAATTGATATATGTATATGTATATAACCTATATCAGCTGCAAAATGGCTGTTGTCATTATTTATCTCATTAATAATTAATAAATAAATAATTCGTCTAATTGAAAGAAATTTATATTTATTAGGGTGAAGAGAGAGAGCAAAAGTTCGTGCGTTTAATGTGTTTTGTTTTAGGTATAGTTGAACAATTTTGAAAAGTCAAGTAAAATTCTATGTAAATATCTTTACATATTCTTTTTTATTTATTGCACAATGCATTCTAAATATCTCTGTATATATATTGTATCTACTACTTCTCTAATAATAATAATATTATTATGAGAAACACAATATTGTGTGTTATCAAAAGAAATGATCAAAGTTAACTTTTAGAATCGGTAATCGTCATTGTTACTGCGAGAAACGTAAAGCCAACATTGGATGCGTTAGGTCGGGGAAAGGACGAGGGGTGAGGATGAGGTTGGAGGAAGGTAATGCAAAGGTGGCGTCGGCGTCGGCATCGGCGTCGGCGTCGGCGTCGGCGTCGTGACGCCCGGAAAGAAAAGAGGGAGTCAGTTGCTGTTCGACCTTAACGTGTCTCGCATAACTTCTTCCCACTCGGATTATTTTTCAATAATAAACGTCACGTTTGGTTTCTATGCATATCATCTATACCACCATCGGTTTTGAATATCACTACTGAAAAAAAAATAACACAACATTTCATTCGATCATACGTGCGAAAGGAATAAAAAGCCGATTAGACTAATTTGGAATGTTCCTCGAATACGTGTTATTTAAATATTACAACAAATAAAAAAGTGAACAAGAGGAGGAGGAGGAGGAGGAGGAGGAGGAAAATACTTTGCTTCTCTCTCTCTTTCGATTTTTCTTTCTCTTTCTCTTTTTTCAATTTTTTTCTTTTTTTAAAAAACCCGAAGAAAAATTTTGGAACAACGAATGAAAGATATTTTTTCTATTTTGCGTGAGTGTGCGTTTATGTGTGTATTATACGTGTTTATTATTATCGAGTACGTAAAAACTAATTGGTGAAGCATCGAGACTAATTTGTACTCCTCAAATATTTGATCTCGTATCATTCTCATAATGAAATTCCATATATATAATTTGTAAACTTGTTAAAACCCCGGTTGGGGAATGTGGGGGAAGTGGGAGCGGAGGGGGATGTGGGTTAAGGTTTATTATCTTCGGTTTAAAATAGAATTAAAAGGACGCTTGGGGAAAAATTCAATAATAGAGAAGATAAATGGATAGATAAATAGATAATGAAGAAATAATAAATACAATTGACGCATTTTTAGGGGATGAGTGATGAAACAAAGGAAAAGAAGGAACGCACGGGCGCGTGCTTGCGTAGGTGTCAACCTGGACAACGATCCCAACGCGCAGTTAAATTAGGTCAACTGATTCCTCTCTTTCTCTCTCTCCCTCTCTTTCTTTCTTTTTTCTACTCTAGCTATATCTGTTTATTCGTATATACGTCGACGAATGCAAATATTCGTGTTCTCTTTTCTTTTTTTTTTTGAAATATTTTCGCCGAAATAAAAATAGAAAAATAATGAGAAAATTGAAAGAAGTGAAATAATGTTGGATTATTAGGATTATTAGTTAATTATTAGGATTATAAAAAATGATAGAAATAAGTAAGGTTGAATGAGAATATGAGCGCGACCCGGGTATCCGCGTGACCCGGCGACCTGTCGCGTAGCTCATTCGATACCCCACCCGAATAACACTATTCTCGCGTAACCGACCTTACCGAACATACCACTTCGTTACTAAATTATTACATTTTTCTTCATCCCTAATATAATAGTTCATACCACCCCCCATTCTCGTCTCGTATTCTTCTTCAAATGTTCTATCGTACTTTTTAACTCTGAAATTATCTTCTCCCAACTACCATGATAGATTTTATTTGACAATGAGATTTTCATTTGTTCAACGAATTATTAAGTTGACCCTTTAGATACGAATAGTATGAGAAACTAATTAATTTTGATTGTTTTCTTCTTGATAGAATTAATCCGTGAAATGTTCTGTCAATTGGATCATAAATTTATCTGACTTTTTGGACAATTTATATAAGATTGAAGACTATCAATGAAAATATACAAAAAAAATAATAGTGATCATCAAATCAGTGTATATCCTTATTTGCAAAATATATTTCTATTCTTATTTCAATGAAATAATAATAATAATCATTGTGTCGAACTTCGAACGTAATTCTGATATTGAACAAGAGGAGATTGAAATAAATGTCCGAAGAATTAAAGAAGAATTCATCTTGAAAAGTGGAATAAAGGGACACGTGAATCGGGTGTAGGGGGTGGTGGGTGGTTATTATCTCGTCGTAACTTGTTAATCCCTCGAAGAAGGTAAAACGACGAAGCGGATGCTGCGTACGAAGAGAGTTACGCGATTAAGAAGACAACGAGGACGACGCCGACGAGGAGGAGAAGGTGGAGGAGGAGGAGGAAGAGGAAGAGGAGGCACTCGCGGTACCAAAGAGAGTCACTGACCTCTCGACCGATTAAAGTTCAGAGTGTGTGATGTTTGATGCTGCAGTGGTGCTTTATGCGGAGGCGACGAAAAGGTGCGCACATTCGCATATTTTCTTTATAAACACTCTTAGATCACAGATTAACAAATAAATCCTCTTTTTTTCTTGCTTTTTTTTTTGTATTTCTTTTTTATTTCTTTTTTATTCATTTTTACAGCCTCTTAATCAATAGAAAATTGTATTAAATAATAAACCGGGTAACAACAACCCCATAATGTTGTCCACTTTTTCATAAGAAATTCTACGAAGTGATTTTTATATTTACCTGGCGTGAAACGTAAATTTATATTACATTTTGAACATTTTATTTTTGAAATTTCTTCTACATCCGGGATTTATTGCAATAGCGTACTCTGTTGTCAGGAAAACAATTGGCCAATGCGTTACTCTTCAGTTTTTCGAACGTTTTTTATTGGAAGTACTGTATTTGATTGACCTTTTTCTATATTTTTATGGACAGAGGTCTCTTTTCTTTTCTGTTTGTGCTCCTGATATAAACAAAATGCAACGTCAGTTTGAAACGTCAATAAATTATATATTATTAAATAGTGCACATTTTTGATTGGTATTTAAACTTTATGCAAAATTTTATTTTACTTTGTTTTAAGAAAAATTACTATATATAAACATTCACAGAAATAACTCTAGAGAAGAACAATCTGCTAAAAAAATAAGTCGATTTTTGGAAAATTTGGAAGAAAAATAAAGTGAAATCAGGCTGTCCCGTTATTATTGTCATCTATGTGTTCGAGCATCGATGGTAGTCGTTGAGGCCCTAGACCTAGACCCTAGACAAAAACACAATGCTTTTGGGAAATCGTCGGTTTTCCTTGTCAAGAGTATTCCGAGTATCCACTTGATAAAGTATTGACACGTGTTCGAAGTTGGCACTCGAGTATGGCGACATCCTACTCGACGTTCGTGAATAATAATAACGTTTTAATCTAATGCAGAGCATGTTTTAAACTCAGCTAAGCTTATCGTAGAACTTAACACTAGATTTAACAAGTATTTTGATATAAGATCCATATATAAGATAATATAAAAATCATAAAACTGATATTCTTTAGTTATAGCTACAAAAGTCATGATAATATCATTACGGAAAGAAAATGTTACATGCAGACCTTAGAACGAAGAATCATTGAAAACATTTCAAATCATATCGAAAAACACATTTGTTCTCATTTATTTGCTACATATTATATTTTCACTTTATTTTCTACGTTTAGTTCTCTCGCTTGCGATATATTTAAAGAAACAAAATACCGAATTATATTTTTTGTACTATTATTTTGAGTTTCTTTTTACGAGTAATCAAAATGAAAAGAAATTTTCTTTGATCCTCTTTCAACTTACTTACAATTAATGATATCCCATTCGAACGGTAATTTTCGATAGCCTTATATACACATTAGTTTCCGGTTACATTTAAGGAGAGAAAGAGAAAGGAAGGTGGTTGGCTTAACTCTCATTTATGTGAGTTGATCATATTCAAGTATCGTCTTTAAATTCGTAACGAGAACTCACTTACCGTTAATCAAGCACGGCAAAAGGAAAGAAAGAAATTTTTAGTCGATGCGTTTACCAAAAAGGAAGAAGAAGAAAAAGAGAGAGAGAGAGAGAGAGAGAGAGAGAGAGAAAAAAGAAAGAGAAAACAAACAGAGACAAAAGAGTATCAATGAGCAATGTGCCAGAGATTATTCGAAGAGACTCGGGTTCGATTAGTTCGCGTGTTATTATTATTTCCCTTCTTCTTCGTTTTCGTTAATCGATTATTTCATTTCATTCGAACCGAGAAAGTGGTGGTGGTGGTGGTTTTATTCGAGAAAGAGAAAGAGGAAGAAAAGTTAGCAAAGGAAATAAAAGAAGATAACAAGATTGAAAAGTGTCAAAATCGTGAAAGAGAAATCATCGCACCGATGATGGGATATATTATGGGTTGCACGTGTTTCAAAGGTACCAACCTCTTGCCATTTTTCCAAGGTTTGTACAAACCCGATACCTTCTTTCTCACGATACAATCTAACTTCATGATTTTTTTTTTCTTCATCTAAAGCACAACGAGATACACAATTCCCACCCCCACCCCCAAATGCTTGTGTATTTGTTCTTTTAAACGGCAGGGTATGTGTGCGTGCGTGCGATAATTAGTACCCTCGTGTTCCCCAAATGCTTTAACCATAATTCAACGGAAAAATAAACATTATGCGAAAGTAGAAAAGAAGATTCACGAAAGAAAGGAGGAGTTTTCTGGTTTGATTTTTTTTTTCTTTTTACAAAAAAAGTCTAATAAGAGAGAAAACAAATTATCGAGCTGAATATAAACTAGACGCGTCCTATAGCAAACTTCACTTTTTTTACCCCTCTCTTTTTGATTATATCGACTTTTTAAAGCTTCGGGGTTATTCCGTAAAAGTCTAATCGAAGACCTACATCTAAATCACTTTTGACATTCATAGATACCATACATACACATGTACGTACGTATGAGCTGTTCACTAGCCAAACCTCACTTCTTGTGAATTTTTTTCTAAATTTATTATTAAACCATTTCATATATTAAAATACTTGAGGGGTGGTTAGTTAGGCCGCTCTATAGGATTTTCCAAAAATTGAATTTCTTTTTATTACCCCAATACTGTTTTAACACGAACTTCTTTTATGCGATTATTCTTATTTTTATTATTTGTTTGGTAATATAGAATGAAATACCGCAAGGAGAGGCTAGGGGGGAGGGGGAGGGAGAGTTAATACGATCAAAGCCACGCGAATATCCGTGACTTTTGAGTTTAGCATTTGGGTTGGACACGAGCCAACGCGTTGTTGTGTGTGTGTCACGTTAGTTGGCTCGTAAACTTTAATTCGATAAAATCGGACTCTTTTTCTTGTATATAGATACACCTTTACATACGTAATAAGTATTTATTGCATGTATACATAAATATTGCATAGATGTCGAGGATTAGAGGAAAATCGATCGTGGTATTTTGCGTATTAAAAACCACGTGCTGCTGAGATCAAACTTGCGGAATCCTGGGAGACTAAAAATGATCATAGTACCTTTTCAATCTTCGAACTATAAGCGGATTAAAAACGCAAACGATTGTTAATCTACGATGTATACATTCGAATACAGGGTGATTCCTAAATGTAAAAATGATATATTATCAATTAATTTTGATTCCTCTTAATATATCTCCGTTTCTCCGATTTGTTCCGGCAAATCCGATCATCATAAATTCGTTAGAATTAAAAAAAAGAAAAAGCTTGTGTTATTATGAAAAAATATTATAGAGAAGAAAAAAAATACTGTATTGTTTTCTTTTCTACTTATGTATTAATCGTAGATCTTTTTAAATGAATTATTGAAAATATTCATGAATTGTTGATCTTTTTGTTTCAGGTACGTGTGTGTCATACGAGTCTCTCGGAATATCGCATGGCATCTTCCATTTTCTTTTCTTAAAAGCGTAAGTGAGAATTTCTAAACAAAAATTTGTGTTTTCAACCATTTCTCGTTTGAAATTAATCTCAAAAGAAAAACAAAAAAGAGGGAGATCGAAATATTCAATTTGTTTTGATCGAAGAAGAGAAAAGGTTTAATTCACCGAATGCTTTCTTTATATTTTCAAAAACTCAAATTACTTCAAGACATTTTAAAACTTCGACCATGATAATAGACGGTTTGTTCCATTGGTCAATTGAAAAAAATGTGCGCTTGCAACTCGTTTCGAATGAGTACAAAATACTGCCCGCGTTTAGTCGAATGATGTTCTCAATTGTACGTTTAACCTTCGTTTATTCCGGTCAAGTGGTTTCGGTATTTTCTTCAACTTCGTCATTTTTTTCTTTGACTTATGTTAGCAGGGAAACGCATTATTTTCTCTTATTCCTACTGATTATTCTTTCTTCTTCTTCTTTAGAATAGTTCGTATTAATAAAAAAAAAAACTAACAATTGTTAAATGGGCAAATGATTTGACCGACCGTTTGTGTCAATCCTTTGATAAAAAGTTGCATCATTAATACTTAACTTTTCACACCAATGTACGGGCTTATTTTGTTGAAGTATGACGCGAAACCATGTACAACAATGCTTATTAAATGATAACATTATTATTTTTAATACACATTTTCAAGTATTATTATTCGAAGAGAGAATAAAAATCAAAGTTGACTGTGTTATATCGTAGGGGGGAAATTTACCCCGAGTTACCTACGATTTAAAAAAAAACACAAAAGCAAAGAGTTAGATGATAAGTAGAAATCTGACAAAGTCAATACCGTTTGTATCGACTTTGCCAAATGGTTTCCGCAGGTTACTGCAAAGTCTGCACACCCTAGCTTGTAGAATACGTCGTCAGATGGCAACATTCTACGTAGCGATATCATCCAGTGAACTTACAAATCAGCTTGAAAGATAAGGGATGTAGATAAAAATATTTTTTTATCTCGCGAGAGGGATCCTCTATCGGTAGACGCCAAATTTCGATGAAATTTGGTGTGTATGTGTGTCTACGTGTATTACTATTCTTCAGATAATCATACAAAAATAATCTTGTATCTAATGCTTACAATACGCGCTCATTAAAAAAATGTTGTTACAAATTGGTGTGAACATATAAAACGTAGATACACACACACACAAATCAAAGTTTAAATAATACTTTTCTTCGGAAACATTGGAACGGGATTTTTTGTATCATGATTATTTAAATATTAGTATTAACACGTACCAATTAAATCTCAGGGAAATCCCATTGTCTTTTAACGGAGGATTCTTCTTGTCAGTAAAAATACAATAATTCTCAAGAAGGAAAGATACAAGTTCGTTTAGAATGGAATCAATAAAACTCATTCTAACTCTTGACATCTTATTTCTAAAAATTGTCTTTCTTTCTCACTCTCTTCTTATCCGTTTCTATTTTAATCTCGAAAAGGCAACATTCTCATTTCAAGTATTTTTCGATTCTACCCCTCGAAAAAGATTTCAGTAGAGAGAAATCGTTGTTTCTATATTTCTTAAAATACTGAAAACAATCTGAGAGAGTAGAGGATGGGAAGAGAAAAAACTTAAAGAAAAGTGCTAAGACGCGTAGTTTCTTATTCCGACTTTTTTTTTCTTTTTTATTTTTATTTAGTATTAAGAAAATCGAAATTCGGGTGGCCTAGTGCGCAAAGTTTGATATGAAGAGTGAAAGATAGGTAGATGAAAAAGGGTTGAGCTTTGAGGGACGGTCTGAAGAAGGAAAAAGCTTCGGTTGCTATCACGATTCGTCCGTGGCCTGCGGTGAGTTCTTGGCCCGATTACGATGGAAGCTCGTTCCATTATATCAAATTTCAGTACAAATCCTGGTATTTGAAGACGACGACAGTCTCTGATATTCAGACGACATACAAATCGGCTATATCAGCGACCTCGATTCATTCATAGATTCCGATTTTATTCAAAATGTGCACGTTTTTTAGTACATTTTTTGCTGGTATTACCGGTGCTGCCGCGATGGCATTTTTACGAAACATCGTCGCCATATTAATAAAACTATTTATTATTCGATGCCTTTTTTCGATCGTTTTATTAGGGTTCGAGGAAAATCACGTTTTTTCAAATAAAATTTAAGTAATTATTGTATGCAATTTTTCATTGATTTTCTTTTTTTTTTTCTTCTGTTAAGAATTATTAATGGGAATTTCTTTGAAACTTCTTTTTCCTAATTTGAGTTTGGGGGTCTAGAAATTGATTGGATTTAAAGAATAATCAAAAATGGAGGATTACAAAATCTCGGAAAATTAAGTTCACATCCTCATTGAAGCGTATTATGGTCTGTGCGTTCTTGGTGGTTATAATACAGACATAAAGCATAATGCATATCGCGATAGTAGGTCATTCCACGGCTTTCTCTTCCATTATACCTCGCTCGTTCCTGATCATCCCTAATGTATTTTCTTTCTTTTTCTCTTTTTTTCTTTTCTTTTTATTTTCCGAATATTGCAAATTACGCCCATTCCGGCAAATAAAATTATCATTAACTAGAAAAATTCTTTCAAATAGATTTGATCGATCGAGTAAAAAAAAGAGAAAAGGAGAAGTTATCGCGATGTCGAACATCTTTTCTTTAAAAGATCCAATTAAGCTCATTATGATAAGAGATGAATCCTAATGAAAATGGGAATCGTTGAAATCTCGAATCGTTATTACAATTTCCATTGATCCTTGTCCTTCCTTCCTTCCTTCCTTCCTTTCTTTCATCCTTCACCCTTTCTTTCTATCTCTTTCTCTTATACTCATTCTGTCTTCTTCTTCTTCTTATCTCGTTTACCTCTTTCCTTAGCTCACACATTTACCAAGAATATCGATTTTCTTTGAGGATACTCGTCTCATACCTACCTACCACCTACCCCCTGAGTGGAATCACCTCGGGCACTAATTTTCTGTTAGGAATTTTCTCTTCGAGTATCAAATATTTAATAATAAATTCTAAAATGTCTCCTCTCTTGTTAAAAAAAAAGAAAAGAAAAGCTAGGACACTTTGTATAGTAATATATTAAAAGCATATGAAATTTCAAATTGATCATCTCTATTATAAAAGTTGGACGTTATTCTGATCCTGTTTCGGTGCTGGTTCGTCGCGTCAGGAGTGCCAGTAGATTAGTTAGCTTTTGACAAGAACAAAAGAGTTTGGCCTCAGGCTGTTAATGCAGGAGTGTATAACAAGCATCTCGACGAAGCCGTGCAATGGTCCAGCTACTTCCCCCTTGCCACCCTCTCGCCACCCTCTCGCCACCCTCTTAGTTCCAGTACTCTCTTTTGGACTTTTCGAGCAGCGTCGTTGCCTTGTTGGCTGTCAGCCGCGAGACATTCGTCATTCAATTCTCTGACACACGAAACAATGCGGTCTTACCAAATGATCATTCTATTATTAATTGTTTTTATTTTCTCTCTTCTTCTCTCAATATACATATATATACACACATAAGTTGTATAGGTATAATTATAATATGTAATTATACTAATACAAGTGTTGTACCTATTGTTAGTATCAAATAATAACATTATTATTATACGTTGTGGTTTAAGTATGATACAGTTATACTAAGTATAAGTCATCTTATTTTTTTATTTGTGCAGCATTGACGGTATTTACCCATTGTTACATAACAGGAAATAAATATCGATAAATAAAAAAAATATAAATAATACATAGAGAGAAATGAAAACAATAAATAAAAGGATTATATAAATGTTGTATTTGATACGTAAAATAATAATTGGGTTATTTCAAAATAAAAAGAGGAAACGAGAAAAGAAATATCGAATTGATCGTCTCATAGTTTATCGTCAGAAACATTTCGAACGATTGCAATTCTTGTTACTCGGGACAATCGGTTGGTACAACACGGGCTACAAAAATTGCATCGAATTATTAATTAATTAAATATTAATATTCATTAATATATTCTTTTTTTTTATAAATACTATTTAACGAACGGTAAAATAATTGTAAGAAAAAATATGTCTCAATTTGTAAAGAAGAAGAAGAAAAAAAAAAAGAAAAAAATGTCTCCCATTGTGATATACGATAATCGAATTTGAACGAGAGCAACTGATTGGTTGGTTGGTTGGTTGGTCTTTCTTTCGACATTGCGGCGGATTTAATAATGAGCACAAAGGCCGTGGTCTGCTGCTGCTGCTGCTGCTACTGCATCACCATATTGATTTTGGCCTAGCTGTGGCAGATTTTAGACGGGCATGGCTCCTCGTATGTCAGGAGCGTATTGCGTCGAGTAATCTTTCAGAAAAAGCTATTCGATTTTTCCCCTTTTTTCTTCTTCTCCCCCCCCCCCCCCCCGAGAAGATCTTATTAAAACCACTTTTTTATTTTTTGTCAATCGATACGAGTAACAGACAAAAAAAATTGTATTATTGAGAAAAACGGAAAGATAGGAAAACAAATATACGAATTTATTTGATTTTCGTTTTTCATAGTTTTTCCGAAGGAAATGTAATTTAATCCCATAAGTCAATAAGGAAACTCTATCTCGAGATTAGATAACCCTCGCTTGGAAGCCCATAAAACGAAGGAAACACATATCTCCGGATTTACAACGATATACAGTTTTTTATGGTTGGTATTGAAACGAAATCGAAAAAAATATTTTTCTTATACACTTAAGGAAGATTCAATTAAACTTTCGTACTATTAACTTTGTCGGTTTAGTTATTTCATTTAATAACTATTATAACAGAACAAAGTCCTAATAAAATGAGGAAGAAGAAGAAGAAGAAAAATGACAAATAGTACAAAATAACACATAAAAGTTGTTTTCTATAATATATTTTATGTAATATCGATTAAAGTTATATGTACTCCTATTTGTTCTCAACGCCTTGAATATAGATGTGAAATTTTTACGAGAACGATGAGAGAAAAATCAAAATCAAAAGTACCAGAGGAAAGGAGGAGGAGGAA